TGCCCTATGTTCCTACCAACTTCCGTTGGAAATACCACTTAACACTCATACTTCGGCTGCTTTCTGCTCATTTTCAACACAATCCTGCTGTTGCTTCCTTTCACGTGTAACGGATTCAAACTACAGCGGTACTATATTCAACTCTTTACTCTTATCCGTCTTCGTTAGCCTAATCTACTTCTACGTTCCAAAAACTCAATTTCATACTTTTACTGCATTCATGCTTTTTTCCTGCAGTGTTGTATTTCTTAAACTAAATTCTTAAAAAAAGTCAGCAAATTTAGTAAACACAAGTACTTTTTTGTGATCACTTTAATATTACAATATTGATTTATATTTTTATATACTTCACTTTTTGTAAACAAAACAGAAGACACTAACAATTCACATGGAACAAAGAGAAAAAATGATATGATAGAACTGTGAAATCTGTAAAGCATGGAAAATTCATGAACATAAAATGTTTGCACAAAATGGTTCAAGACCGGTAAACAAATCAAAGTAAAAAAATGTACATAATATGTACGATCATGCATTCATAATTAACAAAAATGAATACGAATGATAGAAAGAACTGATTCATATATTTTTAACAACTAAATAGCAATTTATTATCAAGCTGCTAATAATAAGCTGCCTTATTATAGCGATGACAGAGTCTAGGGCTGAAATACATGAACTTCACTACGTTCGCAGTAGTAAATTTTTTAAGGTATGCCAGCTGCTCATTATTTTAATAAGAAACTGTCATTAAATCATGAATATGCATGCATGCTATACAAATCGGCAATGCCATGATTTAATCTCAAAACTCTATTTCTGAAAAAGCATACGCAATATGTGCTACATATATGTTTCTAGAAAAGACTTGCAGTTATTATGGTTTTTTGTTCAATCAACAGAAGAAAATAATTTCACTGAAAGTTTCTGGTGGTTCCTCTTTGCGTAGGTCAGTATGACAATTACAGAGAATAAAAAGGTACAATCTTTGTGCGTAGAAATGGGAAGATAAAAAGAATATGCTGACACAAAACACTGATTTTCTTGCAAACAGTTAAATCGACTCATGATATCAAAATTCTGTAGATAAGTAATACTGCAATAAAATTATACTTAAGATCGCTATGCAAAAATAGGTAGACAAAAGCTTGTTTCCAATCACATAAAAATAAGCAGCAGTAAATCACACAACCTTATGTTCATCAGTAGGTAAATGATCGTACTCGTAATCACAGTGAACAAAAGCTCTTTCTACCTCTGTTAAGCTTTCTATATTTGTTTGTAATGCTTCACTGATATCATGAGATTCACGAAGAGTCATGTTGGGATCCATTACAATATGCACTTCCACGAGAAAACGTGTGCCGAAATGATATACATAAACAGTATCGATGTAATCTATCCGCTTGTCATGTTCTATACAAACCTTCAAGTCCATCAAGTGGTCATATATATTTTTGTTTTAAGCAATGAATCAATAATCAGTCCATTGAAATGTTAGAGATATAACAGCTAATATTATGCCGATTGAAACATCTTAGCACACAATTGAATGCAAAATCTGAATACTGGTACGGTTAATTTCATATAATATCATTTTCCCTTACCTCGCCAATATCAAAAGCATGCACCGATTGTTGAAATAAAGAGATGGAATTAAAACCTTCACGATGCGGTTAATAAATTCTGGTTTAGCTGATTTGCCAGAGAGCATTGATAAATGCTCTCTTCCAGTGAAAAACCAGGTGATAGCGATATAAATAGACACAATTATAGCTCCAATAGGATCGAAATATAACCAGTAATTAGATGCAAACCATGCACATATCTTAAATAAAATATCAATAATACCTTCGACTAATAAAATAAAGCAACCGGAAATATGCAGATAACAGAGAACAAAAAATAAAATCAAGATTAAAAAACTCACAATAGCAACGGTGTTTGATATGCAGTCATTTCTATGATCTTGTGCCAATACAGCTACCGAAGAATCATATGAGAAACTATAAATTTTTTTTTTAATATACATTTGTTTGCAATACATGAAACTCGTTTAGAACTTGAAATAAAATTATTCAGTGTACTATAGAAAAGCTATTTATATAGATGCAATTATCAAATTATTTATAAAACTGTTATCAGAACGACTGCGATAACAAACAGAAACTTATAAAAGTATACTAACTTCCTGCACAAAAAAACAAGAGTTAATTTAATGAACACAGTAGCAATCATAATGCAAAGTGAGATAATATCAACTTTTGGGTTAACTGTGCCATGGATAACTGAATCCAATGATTGCAATACCATTTGAATTGACGCTACTCCCATTATTACACTTACAATGATCTAAAAATATATTCGGTTAAAAGATAAAAAAGGATCTGATGGAAAACAAGTGAAACAAATTTTTAAATGGTGGTAAAATTCTTTCCAAACTACAAAAAAAGAGCACTTCAATCAAAACGCATGATTTGATGATGTTAATGAGTAGTAAGATCCTTTCAAAGGCAGAAATATAATAAATAATTACACTTTTTATATAACTTACCAAAGCAATAGGTTCCAGACGAGTCCGTCCTCTAGGATACATATACGGGTCTCGTTTTTTAATTGCACGAGCTGTTAACCAAATAACCAAACCCGATGTAATATCAACAGTTGAATCAACTAGTGAAGAAATTATTGACAATGAACCCGAAAGATACGCAGCCGCAGTCTGTAAACAATGCCCCGAAACTACGTATTTTTGCATAACCTCAGAAAAATTGGTTGGGAAAGCTATATGAAGTGATAAAAAATTCCAATTGAAATATTATAGTTAGAAAAAAAAAACCTTAGCGATCACCAACGAAACATTAGCAATAAGTGTTGTCATAGCCAGCCATCGAGCTGTCACAGCCATGTGTAAATTCACCGGAGTTTGTACTCTAAAAATAAAACTATCAAAAATTACAAAAGTTCAATAGGTTAAATTTCAAAAAAAAGTTAGTTAAAAAAAGTCGAACAGATCTATAGATATACCTCTGCCTTCTAATTTTCACAATTGGAACATCTGATGGATGGTTTATTGAAAGAGTTTCCATGCATACATCTTCATCTGCAGATTTTTGTTTTAGCAATATCATTTTGGATTCCACCATCTCTTCTGAACTTACTGTATTTTGCCGCTTTCGTCGATGCTCCTAGAAAAAAAAGAAATTCTACCTTTAATCTCTTCATTTGTCAATTTATAAGCTACTAATGCATATATTTCATATGCTATGAGATTCAGCCATCGTAAGTAAACAGTATGGCATGTTCGAATGTATCAAACAGAGAGCACGATTAAATGTTTAATTTTTAAAAGAAGCTACTATACGAAATTTTCTCGAAAATATAGATTAAGATCGAAATTTTTTTTGCATGAACATAAACAAAAAACCTCGATGACGGTACTGTCTTTCTTGAAACTCTCCATTAAGTCCGATTGTTTTCGATAAAATTTGCTGATCCGTTTTGGATTTCTATTTAATACCGGAGATAAACGAGAAAGCATCATAAATAACGATGACCCATTATGATCAAATGACGAATTATTTTTTTTCTTTAATGACTTTTCTGTTACTACTGAGCTTGTGCCATGAAACGATAACCTGTGGAAAAAATTAAATGCACGTGATCTCTTTGTTAATGCTTTCAGTGCAACTTTTACCAGTGTTCATGCAAGTTTGTATTTTGAATCATCCTTAAAAATAATTATTACTCACATGAAATACTTTATGAGTAAAGAGATTACAGAACCTTTATCAATGGAATCTTTTCTAAAAGATTATTTTAATCTTCTTTGTATGATTTTTTTAAACCGTACTCAAAGCAAACAGAACAAATGGTTCAAACTTTGTCCATCCTTTAATTCCCCTAAAATAATGTTTCTAGTAAATTACTTATCGAGTTGTCAGTAATCTATACCACATAAAAATTTAAACAAATTCAAAATTAACTTACAAGATTTCATCGTCTTCACTGCTTTCTGCTTTCTTTTCACTAACACTATCAAGAAGTTCAAAAGTCACCGGCATACCCACATTTTCTGAAACATACCCGGTGGTGGCACAATTGAATTTTGCCAACTGTATAGACGATTCTTCACTAGAACTGCCATCACCAGCCATAACTTCAAAAAATTTTTCTCTACTCCATACACGTGAAAAAGTGCGCAATACACAAAACGTAAAATGACGTATTTAAGTATTAATAGAGTAATTCACTTAACGTGATGAAACTAACTGTCAGCAGTATAATTATGTACTGAAGCGATCATCTATAATTACATAAGATTATGATTATACGTTAGTCTGATAATCTAAAATTACTTTAACTTAAAAATTTTGAGACCATTTTCGCATTTTGGACACCAACCTCATAAAGAAAAGAACTATTTGAATAAAACTAATGAAAACGGAACTTTTTAAGACTATGTTAAAACTGAAGTAATTTTCTACCAGTGCCTTTTGTATTAAATCTTGTATTATATTTTAATATTCAAATAAGGACAGAAATCCGTGAACTCTGTAATTTGTTTTGCCACATAAGTGATCTGTCGATTTTCGCGGACTTGTTTCAAATATAAAATTGAAATGAATGATCAATTTAAACAGTTTCAAAATTTGTAGTATTTCTTTGATGTATTTCCTTACTGTTAATTATTCACTTGACCTTTCAGGCGTTAATCTTTAGTATTTGATTAACAAATAAAGGACAATAACAGCAAATGTAAAAATACTTTCATTTTTAGATTGTTTACTCTATTTTGACTTAATTTCAAATTGTAGTTACAGAAATTTTTTATTTGCTGCTTTCACGTAACACTTACTTAAATTTTAGCAATACTTTGACTAGAATCTTTATTACTAAAAATTATGTACCCAAGCAAACACCTATAATTACATATGCTTATGATTATTATATATCCATAGTAATAAAGTCATGCAAAATATTATGATGTCGTCAGTGTAAATTGCTAAATTTCGTAGAAGTTATCTTCAATGAAATGATATATTGTAATGCTAATTACGTTAATAATTAATAATTTCTAGCAATGAGCTGATTATAAAGCATTAACTACTCTATTCCTGTCTACTTTTGATGCTAAAGCACACTGATTAAGCACAGCATTTCTCTGTCTATCAAGTTTGACTCTTCTCATTACAAATTGCAACTTGCAATTTTACAATGAAAATACTCATTAATTCAATTCGAATTATTATTGTAGATTTACTCGTCGGAAGTATTCATAAAACATACTTATACACGCGAGTAGTTTGACGTAAAAATGAAAAAATGTAATGAGGAGAGAGACAATGGAAGTAGAAAGTGGAAATGTACATTTCAACCTGACGCAGAGTAATGCGAGCACATCTAAATCATCAACGCTGTTGACCTTATCGTGGCAAAAGAAAAAAAGTATTACTCATCGATAAAAACAGAATATATTCTCATTTTTATTCCTTTTTTGCACACAAAATTTTATTACTTGAAGAAATGGAAAGGTATTTTCGTCATGAAAATCATTCATCATTTCACGATTTTTAAATTTCTCATACAGATTACTTTCAAGATAAATGTGGTAAATTATGCTAATTATCAAAAAGTAAATAAATACTATAAAAATAAATATTAAAGCTTTGATATGATTATTAGTCCATAACAAAGACTTAATTTCAGTAATTGTAGGATTTACTTTTATAACTTTAATTTAATTATTTGATTACGATTTAATCACAATAATAATTAGACAAGTCATACAAAGTTTTTTCATTGAAACAACCAGAAGATTAATTATAGCTCGCTTTCAAAAACAGTAATTACAGTAATGATAACAATTGTGATCTGAGATATAATAATTGTTATTATTGCAATTCAAAGCTGTTATAATTAGTATGTGGTTGTCTTAAGAAAAAGTTAATGAACAGAAAGCCAACAATTGCAAGAGCAGATGCTTCACACTATTTAATGTTTTTGAAATGCGAGCTGTAATTGATGTGCAGAGTAGAGTTGATCAGTAATGTGTAATGTGATAATGATAAGGATAAGCACATCAGAGGAAGCAGCTTGCCCCTATTTACTTTCATAACTTTAATCTAATTATTTGATTACGACTTAATTACAGCAATATGATTAAACAAATCAAACAAAGTTCCCAGTTCGCTTTTAAATACAAGAATTGTTGCGTGTGTATTGCATACTGATAATGTTTCAGCTGATGGTAATCGATGGAAACCTGTACAAAACAAATTAAAAAATAACAAAAAACATTAGGCGAGTAATGTAACCATAAAATTTTGCTACAAACTTTGTTTGGTTTTGCATTGTCACAACCAGAAGATTTTATTTGTCAAAAATGTTTATTAACAAAACAGCCAATACAATTAGTAGTAGTAAAATATTGCTGTCAGTCAAAGCAGAAACAAATTAATTAAGCTGATCAGAACTAAAACTCAATAAGCAATCATTTAGAAATTGATCTCAGAGCTTGGATTTTCAGCTTTACACTCAATATCACATTATAGTATAACTAATCTAAGATACACTACATTATATTCATTACTTATCCTTAATTTGCTTTTATTTCTTATTTACTTTGAAATCAAAGTACAGTTCTGATAATCCTACAGTCAAAGAACATTGGTTTGCGTGATCGTACGTAACATGCAGATAGCAGAGTCTATGATTATTTTATAGCTAATGCAAACATCTCAAAAATCTAAACTCTGAAATGAATAATTATGCTATCAATGTGCTATATTATTAATTACAAACAATTTTAGGTGTTCTTTTTATGATGCCTTTTTTCAATATACAGTTGAAAGGTTGAATAGCTCTTGAAGCAATTGCAGTTTTTTGTTTTTCGATTAATCAGTGTAATCAATATTATAAGTTAAACTGCGCGGAACAATAATAAAAGCTTTAAGATATCAAAAATATCAGTTGAAATAAATACATAATAATTTCGAACAGACTTTATCGCATATAATTCTTTTTGTTCTTAAAAATTTTGTTCCAATTGTTTGTTTTGGTTTTATCTGCTTTTAACTTACGAGTTTCTCGTTAATAAATGAATATACACACACCCTTTTACTACTACTTTTTACTACTACTGCCAATAACTTTTCTAGCAGTTTTAGAGGTATAGTTTATGCTTTGATAAAACTGATCATTGCTTTAAATGGTGTATCTAAATTACAACGATAATCATTTTGATGTCTGAATAATCTATTAAATTGCTTTCAATGAACTTATACTTTGATCTATTACTACCTTTACCACTAGTAATAGCACATTTGACTATTATATCGATATATTTATTGCAATATTCAAATTATTAGTACAATGACTAATTACGTTTTTTACTTTTGGTTTTAACTTTTTTCTCGATTAATGCAATTTTCGCTGCTTTTATCAATGGATATGATCCTCGTTTACAATCACCCTAAAATATGACAATTTATTATCATTAATTAGCAAAAATAAATCCCATCTAGTAGTTAATACTGAATGATAAAATAATACTTAAAATGAAGATAACAGTACCTTGTAATCATCTGATGATAGATCATATATCATCATACCCGCTAAATTAAGCATTCTGATATATTTTGCTTTAGAAAACATCGTTATCGGATCTTCTAAACCGAGCCATTGTCGATCACCACCATAGATATACGCCGATCTCGTATTAGTATCAAATACATAGTTGTATTCTTTCGTTTTTGTTAAATTACAGACCTATAAAAACAAGCTTTTTTTGAGCATCAAAGTTTTCCACTATAAACGATTGCTAGCTTTTATCAGATTTGAAAAAAATATTGCATCAAAAAAATAAAGCCATTACATTGCACAGCTATTTGTAATAGCTGAAATTTTAATAACTTTCATTCAATTTTTTGTTAATATTTAGTCAATTTACAGTTGTCATTTACAGTTAATCCAATTCTAAAGAATCAGTGATAGTTATAAAAGAGTGCCTTAACATATGAATATGTGGCGCCAATTGTTGCATCACCCACTGCTGGAGCATAGAGAAAATGAAGATATTTGCTGAGAAGTGTATATCCACGTCCATAAGTCGGCATGCCAAATACAGTTTTGTTTGTCCAAAGACCTTTTTTAAGCCAATATCGAGTTGAATAATCCTAAAAAAGTAATTCCAAGATATTTTTATCAATTAATTTGCTACAAATAAGTAAATCACTACTGAATTACCGAATTCATTTTGCCTAGTATGCCAAATTCAAATAGCTTTGGAAAAAGTGGCGCATTGAAACCTGTAACAGGTTGTACTTTGGAGTACATATGGTAGTCGTAATTCATAATTTGAACATAATCTAAATACCTGAAATGCAACTATTTCAAATTAATGTCTTAATCTTTAAGTGATTTTTATGCTAACATTATGAGAATTATGAGCCTAACTTTTCTAGTCGTTCAGTAATTAGTAATTAGTAGTAAGTTGGTCAGTAATCAACTGGTGCTTCATATTTATTCATAACATCTATATAGATAGATAAACATTAGAAAAAAGTAAACAGAGAAAACCAAACTTATTTAAAACTTCGACATCATAAGCCTTATCGACAATTGCATATTGAGCGCCTACTGCTGCAGTTAGCAATAAATCAGATTTAGCTTCATCAAAACTTTGTCGAAGTTCCTTAAAAAATAGTATAAACTTAATTTTCACTTTTAAAATCACAAGAATAATTGTTTGAGGTAAACTTTAATGAAATTTGTATTACTTTAATTAAAATAAAAATGGAAACGACATACTCTGACAAGATCTGATAGCCCTTTTCGATCTGTTGGTTGCGCATTCCAACTCCACACTGGGAACTCCCAGTCAATATCGAAACCGTCCACTTCATTGATTAGCAAATACCTCTGCACGTCTTCTATTAACTTTGCTCGTAAAGTTTCGTTTTTAACCTGAAAATATTGCACTTACCATGGACTTCTTGAACAACACTTCATAAATAAAAGCATAATATAAGACGAAGCAAAAATTTATTTATGCTAATAAAAATTAATATGTTTTTTTTAATGGTTTATTATGGTATGTAATATGCAGAATGGGTGATACGTTGTACAGTACACCAAATTAGCTTTAGAGTTTTTTTTTAAATGCTTGAAGCTTCTACTGAAGTCATGGCTATACTTTGCCATCGATATTCCTCTTCTCGACAGTACGGTATTTTAACTAAAAGCCAGATAAACTCAAAAAATGAATGATTTTTTTAGCAAATAACAAATAGAAATAATAGCTTTCAAATATAATAGTACTAATTTTTAGCTATTATTAGTTTGGTACAGTTAAATAAAGTGAAAAAAGTTAAGATGAATAAAAACTTACGAGATATGACATGCGAACATTATCAGGAGCTAAAGTGATTAATAATTTTGGTTTTAGTTTCTGACGCATTAGAGTTTTCTTAATTTCAGTAATACCAATAGTACTGGGTAAGACCACTCGGTAATTTTGATCAATGAAACAAGAACCGATCAAGTTGTAATGAGTACAAAGGTTTTCTTCCAAGGAACTTATGGGTGGTTTACCCTTCCTAAAATGTTGCATACAATTAGCATATATAATGTTCACACATTTAAATAATTTGAAAAAATAATACATAGTAATTTTATTAAGTATAACAGGAATTAAAAAAATATAAAATGTTTGATAAATTTGAAATGGATGTAAAAATTACTGAAAGTAGCAAGTGATAATCGGATTATAATGAGATCCCGAAACAGAAATATTAATGAAACACTCGGCTAGCAGCAAAATGAAAAACAATTGAGAATTGAGTGGTATTGGTGGCATCTGAAAACTCAGTTGAATAAAAGTATTGTTAGTTTTTCTAACAATTTAATGACCAAATGTCATTAATGATTAATTTTATTTAAATAATATGAAAATAAACGACTGATTGCATGTATTTTTTTAAAAATATTATAAATTTAAGCAGTTCTTTAAGGTATTTTTGGAGGGAAATGTTTTTTAATTATTAATTGTAAAGTAAAAACAAAGACTGATACTGAAGCAATTAAATAGCAAAATAACTCACAAATGCATAAAAATAAACTAAATAAACTGATTAATACTATCGATGCAACCAGTTCAGAAAGCAAAAAAATTTTTCTCTGATTAATGGCAATATATTTAAAAATTCTTCGAAAAATATTGTGCAATAATTTGGAAAAGATTGCTGATTTAGACTAATTAATTAAGACTACAAATTTTTAAGCTATAAGATAATGTTTAAACTCAAACAACTGCTAATAAATGCTTTTTCAAAAGATCTGATTCGCATTGTGCAAGATTGCAATGAATTATTATTGTTAAAATTACAGCAAAAATTATTTTAAAGCGATTAAAGTTTTGCAGTAGAAAGGACTTAATTTAATTAAGCAATGTACTGCTCAAAAATGCATTACTGTAGGCAGAACTATTTTGTGATAACAGGCAATATGTGAATTTTGAGTAATAATTTCCGCTTTTATTTCAATTTTTTATTGAATGCTAAAAGTGTAAGAAAAAGTATTTGAACAATTTTCAACAGTAAGACAATTTAAGGATTGTGTAGCTTAGTAGCTACCGTATTCACTTTCATTTAAAGTAATTTTTTGTTTCTTATTTGTGATATTTTTGCTCCATTCAATAAGATAGTCTTATATCCTACCAAATTTTTTTCTGCAATGTGTCAAATTACTGTAGTCGAAATCATTACATATATAATACTATAAATTAGCAATGTTAACCACGTAAATTTTCATTTTTCTAATATATCCAGACGAATTCAATATCTAATATGTAACTAGATGTAATACTGTCCTATCAATTCACACTACATAGAAAGTTAATGATCCAAACAATACTAATCTCAAAATATTATTTATATGATATTAGTAACATTTGAATACTAAAACTGCATTTGACTATGAACAATTACTTGAAAGCTACAGAAAGCCAATCTTAATATTGTTCAAATACTACTTTGAAGTAATTATTAGTTCCATGATTAGAGGAATATTCCTTAGAATATGAATAATAATGTGCTGAAGAAGCAATTTTATTCTACAAAGACATCTAAGAATTAAAAGACTGAAGGATACAATGCTGAAAGCATACATCAAGCGAGAATGTGCCATTGTGTTAGAAGAATATTTGCTACACTAACTACAAAATCTTAGTATTGTTCAAATACTACTTTGAAGTAAGTACTATTTGTGTCAGTGTTTTTATTATCATAGTACTAAAATATAGATTCAATCTTACTGTATATTGCTGCGACATACTATAAAGACGAAGCAAAGCATTATTCAAATGATGACAGAAATATCATGAAAATCTCTGACGTCTATCAATACAGTAATGTTGTGCTAGATACGGTACTTTTGTAATGTAATATTAAAAAACACATTTTTCTATACGGTGACAATGCCAAACGTATCATAATGCTAATTTACTCTGATGAAAATAGCCAGGCAGTATTTGATTTGCAAAAGTATTATGCTGCAATTAATCACACCTTTTTTTGACGAATTGTTGGATACGGTATTCTTCAAATTTTTGCTTCATTCTTTGCTATTGACTGATTTTACAGATTAAGTTTGTGAAACGAAGTATGTAAAGCTTGATGCCGTGATTGATCTCGATCATATCATATCAGTAAAGAGATACCATCTAAGCACTTTTTTGTCATAAGTCACGATAATATTGTTTTGATTTATAATTTTTTAGCTTATTTTAGTTAGAATGACGTAATTGATGTATTAAATAAATAGTTATGATTGTCTTCATTAACTTATTCTGGCGAACGCGTCATTTTTATCTCGTTTTCTGTGCTGCTTATTGTAGTTCTGGAATCAGCATTCAACTGCAGTATTGTTGAGAATTGCAAGTAATAAAGTAGCAAACTTTTTCTCTCAAACATTAGTTTAGTTTATTTGCCTAAATGTACTTTGAAAAACTATGCACGATTATAATATTCTTAAGTGACTTTTTTAGTAAATAGATAAGGTATTGATTTCAGATGGAAGATGACAATGCAATTGATATTTACAAATGGATATTCTCTACTGAAGATAGTGATGATTTTTGTGATCGAATGGTGATGGAAAACAACGGAAATGTAAAAGAAGTTGAGGTCAGTCCGAGTGGTAAACTGTTGATGTCATTCAGGCCGCAAAGTGTCAAAAGAAAAAAGGAAAGGGAGAGAAAAAGTTATTATCTTCAGGCTACAGTAATGGGTAACCTTTAGAAATTTAATGTTTTCCAATGAAAAGTAATAAAGTCATATATTGTGTTATGAAAAGAAAAATGTTTGACCGCGCCTTATTGTTAGATATAAAGTGGGGCTTTGATTGATCTCCTGTCCATCTCGTAGTTCAATTGTTTCTCTCCAGGTTTGATTTAGAGATTTATTAATATACTACTAACATTTGTTGAGTTAGCAGAAATATACACAGATTTTTTTACTCTTATTATTGTGAAAATTTCAGCTAAAAATTCGCAGCAATATCTTGGCTGTACGCTTCTGTCAAGAAGAGCCTGTTGAGCCAATGATTGTTGTATTAGAGAAAGTACATCTCGAAGTCCTTCCTAATGAAAATGAAATGTTTCCGTTTATAATTGGTTTCAGTTCTGGTACAATTAAATTCTGTGCTAAGAGCGAAGAACTGCGAGAAAAGTGGATGGTGAAGGTCAGTGCTGTTATTATCTAAATAAAGATTTTGTGCAGCTGAAAATGAATGAAATGGACCCTAAATTTTATATAAAAATGGTTTAGTAGATTAATCGGTGTTGTTTAATGTAATTTTTGGCGCAAAATCAGAAAAATTATTCTATATATTTACTTTTGTGATGTATTGTATTTTTTCAGATGTCAACCTGTTCTCACAGAATGGCTCAAGCAGAACTTGATGAAATAGCAGATAGTTTTTTCAATACGTGTACCGTTACTGCTGCTACTCCTGTCTCTACTTCCGTTTCGTCATGCTCATTTTTTTTAACAAATCCGGTGAGGAAAGTCCATAAATTCTCCATATCTCAGGTAAATAAGTAATCATTTCTCATTTTAGATTCGTTTTCTACCAGAAGAAAGGAGGCACTTGCTTTAACATATTTTGATGTATTGTATGATAAGTTGTTGTTGCTCGTTTTAATCATTATATTCTGATTCCTGAAGTTCATTCAGTAATGGTTGCTGTTCAGAATGTGAGCCTTCATTCTCGTAAAATATCATGTGAGGAAGTAATGTGGGAAAGTAAATTATGTACTACGCTACCTGTGCAGCTTATTAAATTGTATTTAAAATGGTGCGACGAAATGAGTAAGCAGCTGAAAAGTCGTTTGTGGTATGTACCAAGCGAGTATTTAGATCCAGTTCATGATTGCCTCAGGTAAAAATATATAATCATATTTGTGAGGATAAGTGCTCACTGATTTGTTTTTCTGATTTTCAAATTCACATTATCTAGTTCTGTTATCGAGCGTACTTTTAGACATCTTTCTGCTAACCAAGAGGTTTTGATGGATTCATTGGAGTTTCTTGAGTCCTACTCTGGTCCTTCTTTTCGTTCTTCCTCGGATAAATTCCGTGTTGCCTTTGCATCCGTGCCTACAAATTTGCACCTGCAACAGTTTTCCGTTGAAGGACATTTATATAATTACCTTACCGTCGGCGCTTCAAGTGCTATACCACTTCGGTTTGCGGTAACTATAAATTTTGAGTTCTCTTTCAAATTTTTATTTTTAAAAATAGCTCAAATAGAGTTTTTAAGCATGGTGGTTTGTCAAAACAACGTGTATCATTACACAGTTCTGTGAACGATCCCAAGCAGATCGATTACATCATCGATTCTCGATTCTATTACAGACGTCGGATCTTGCAAACTGCTAAAAGTACTATCGGTGAATTGTCCAGACGAGTTGAAACTGATTGGCAAATTGCTGATTTTGGTAAAGTAGACAAAATTGGGTTACAATTATTGGCTGAAATAAAACAAGTTTGTATTTGTACTAAAAAATTGAGAATGTTGGGCATTTGCTTAAGCCTATGACAGTATAATACTGTTTGTTTCATGTTTTTATATGTACTCTTGCTTTTTAGCTCAATGAAAGCTTGATCGATTTGATTGGCTCCTTTCCTGATATATCTGTATTAGTCGATAATCTTTCTGTTTGGTCTCAACCTCTTATTTCTTCAGCTCGATCATCAGTGCTCGATAAAGTCAGTTGGTTGATAATGTTGCTAAAAAGTATTGTTTGTTAATTTCATATAAAATGAGGTGAAGTCTTTCTGTTTTTCTAATATCAGTTTAAAAATATTGCATTACATAATGTCGGAGTAACGTGCACGAAATACTGTGTTTGCCTTTTCTTACAAAAATTTTCAACTAAAATATGAAATGGTGTAATATGTATTGTATATGACATCAATATAGTATAGAAATGAAATAATTTGTTCATTTGAAATCCTGAATAGTAAAAGGAATTGCTCCTGGTAGTTTTAATTTTTTAAAAGAATCTTTAATTTCATTTTAAAGCGCCATTACTTAGTACTTTCAGGAAAAGCATTTTGTGTATGATGGCTTGGATAGTCAACTTGATAATATTGAGGCATCTCTGATCAGTCTGAATACCAAAATGGCAGTTATCGATTGTGTGCCAAATAATGAAGTGATCAACTCTTAATTTTTGATTTAGATCCTACAGCTGTAATATTTACGTTCACAAAATGATCCATGTTTGCTTGAAAATTACAGCAATAATTTTCAGGATTCTAGAAGAGAATACATGACTAACGCTAGGCAGACCCTAAATGTTGCTCTCAATGCATTACTGCAGCTAACAGAAAGTCTTCTTGATGCTCAGCTATTAGGTAATTAATTAGAACTCTTAACGATTTTTTCCTTAGGAAATCAGTTTTATAGATATATAAATCTAATAAAAATAATTTTATTAGATTTATTTAGTGTAAGAAGTGATTTTACAGGCTTAGTATTGGCATTAAAACGATCTAGTGACTGTCAACTCTACTTTAATATTCAATTAAGAAGCGATTTGGTACTATGTCAGGCAGTTACGACTGTTACGACTGGAATACTAGCTTTTTTAGAACAAAAATCAGAAATTTTGGATTGGTCAACGATTTCTCCACTTGTTACTGTAATATCAGTTTGGATGTCTTTTACAATAATATAATAATTGTTCATGCTCCTGTTTTAATTCATTTTAGATTTTTTCTTTTCTCTCGTGCTATGGAGATGAGCGAGGCATGATGGAAGATGCCCGAGAGTGTTGGGCAGCTATTCAGGATCGGGTTATGTTCAAATTTATACAAGCGACATCTTCCGTTGCATCGGTTTGTGTGCCAACAGTTAGTGGTGATCGTTACAAAATGATTGTTCAAGTGCCTCTACAACATGATTTATATAAGGTTAGAAGTCCTTCTGTACTTCATATTTTTGACTGTTGTGATAATAGTTCATTGTTGTGATGTTCCTTAAAAGTGCCATTTTTTGAAATGTTATGTGTTCTTCAGAATTTGTCAGAATCTCTACGATCAGGAAGTATGTTCAGCGTTTATGCAGTGTTTTGGAACCTGGGCATCAATCATGAGGCCTCATTTGCTCAGTCATTTGCTGGCGATAGTTCTCTTGAGCAGTCAATAAATCTTGTAGCAGCGAAATCATTAGCTCTATATGTTTCACTGCTAAAAGAAACATCACTTTCTGTTGAAGAGCTGCTTGCAGAACTATCTTCCACTGTAAAAACTATCTCTCTTATCTAATTAATTAAATTGGTATTACGTATGTGCAGTTCCTTAATAATCATATTGACTGGATTTATGAAATTATAGGTGACAGCAAATCCAACTAATAAAAATGTATCAATATTTCGTTTGGTGATGGCAGTTAATTCCGTAATTCATGGAATACCAATTTTATGTTGCAAAAGTGGAAAGGATCGCACTTCTATGGCTATTACATATGAGGAAGGAAGGATTATACGTGAAAATTGTGGAATTAGTGCTGAACAGGTCTCTTGACTTCATTTGAATCTGGTTTTTATCCTCTTTCTCATCCTTTGGAGTCTGAACTTTATATAAACACATCATTCTGAAAATGTAGTTTCATTTTGCCTTTCATATCAATGTATAAATTATGCTTTTAAGATGGGAGAAATGATTGTATGTTTGCGTCGAGACGGTGTACGACGTGAAAACTGTCGTAAAAACGTTGGTAAAGCACTTTACTCTTTCTCCCCTTTCCAAATGAACTTTATTCCCAAAGAGTTTCGACCTCCTGCAGGAACTTTTTCTCAAGGAATACCTACTTGATTCAGAAATTTTGTCTCTTTTTGGTGCTTACTCTCAATTTATTAAGACTTTGATGTAGTGAGAATTGGAAGTTGTATATGTTTCATATATTATGTAACTTAATTCTTATATACATAATGGGATATATTTCTGTTATGCTTGAAATTCACTGAATACATGTTCTTAAGCGCTGGTTGTTACATCATATTGTAGTTGAATAGATTTTGATTTTCGCAAGCTGTGATATTGGCGTATTTTTATGCGTGAACTTATATGATGTATTTTAAATGTAATATGTCAAGTTGGACAATTCAGTTTTTCATTCTTTACACTGTGATGGTTATTGGCAGATTATTCACTTGTTTTCATTTTGGTCTAATTTTTCATATCAGCTTTTGAACTTATTAGAATTCGGCAACAATAAATATATGCATCTATTAAGAAAACACACTCGAAAATAATGAACAAAATAGATGTAAGGATGAAGTTCTGGAATATGTATGAGAGAAGTGAGGTGCTCTAGCCATCTTTGAGAGCACTCATTTCACAGACACAGTAGTCCTGTAGAAGCACTTTGAAATCCCGGATAGTTTCTAAGGTCAGGTGTGTTAAGGTGACGGCGGATTTGATCTTGCATCTTGATGCAATTCTGTGAATGCTAGTTGAAGTGAGTTTCGTGTTGTCATGGTGAATTGCATGGCAACTAGGTCGAGTGCAGTATACCTTACAGAGAGTAAATAATTTGTGTAATAAAATTTGTTATGAAGCAGGGACTAGCATATATCACGTCGAATATGCTAAATATAATTTTTGTATTTAGCACTGATTTTATTGCGAAACCAAATTTCCTATACTTGAAATTAATCTGTAGCGTGAAACTTTGCAAATTTATTTTGCTGAAGCAAATTAGATTTAATTAATGAGTAAACATGCGAATTTATACAGTATGTTTTATTTATAGTGAAGTGATGAGTTTAAAAGATGAAGCACTAGCGGATTCTATTTGGCAGGACCGTGAAGTACGATTTGATTTGGATCCGAGGTATGTTTGACGTTGTATTTAAAAAAAAATACCAATTTCGCTAACATTTCTCATATTTTTGTGGAATACTATCACTATTTTGTACAATTACTATAAGTTAGAGAATTATTAATACGTAAACCTATGTCAGCTGAATTAGCAGATTGTTACATTTGATTCCTGGTGAATACTTGGTGAGTCGAATTAATGGTGCAGAAGATAGTAAAGGAAATAACGGAGATAAGGGCATTCTTCGCGTAACAAATTTAAGACTCATTTGGTATGCAAACACTGCCTCACGGATTAATCTAAGCATCGGGTATTTGACAATTTTTTACTGTTTGTATAGAAGAAGCACTGCTTGAATAAACAACGAAAATTAAGGACAATTGAGAGATTAGTTTTTACAAGTTCATATTTCAGTGCTAAGTAACAATTACTTCTGTATTTGCTCTTATTTTTATTTTCATGAATCTTTGAGCGAGACTTTTGATTTATAATGAATGAACACAAAACGCCAATGTATTTAACAAGATGGTTCTATATGATAATCATTAACTGCCTTTTAGATATGGTACAATAAATGGGGTAACTACAAAGTTAGCGAAGTCTAAGTTACGAGGAAATGCTGAATCTTTATATTTGATGGCACATTTTGCAAAAACCCGATTTGAATTTATCTTTACTTGTATTGATCCATCACAAGTTCCTATTATATTTGTTATTTAGTATTGGATTAACTGTTTAAATACAAATGAAAGTTCACACTATTTAAGTTTCTCAATTGAATAAAATAATAATTTTCGGAAATTCTTTTTTTTGGTTTACAAATATGTTTGCAGACAAAACTTTTTACAACTGTAATTTCAATCCATCGCGCATACGAAACAACAAAACTTTACCGCTTACTGAAGATGCGTGGAGCTATTATTAATAACGAGCAGCAATTAAGGATTCTACCAAACGAACAACAATGTGATCGTTTTGATGGCGTTTGGAACTTAAGTAATGACCATGTAAGTAATTGTTATATTTTTTTTGTAGATCAAAATTTATACTTTGATTACTTCAGACAGACATTCATCCAAAATTCGCAAATGTTATAAGAAACGCAAAAACGCAAAAAACGTCTTTTAAACCCTAAAAACCTTAAATTTGATTTACTTTAATCACATCAACTTATACCATATGTACCATAAATACAAAGCTAAAAAACAAACTTCAGCGAAGAATAATCTGAAAAAATCTACTTATGACAAATTATTCCTTCAAACTAATTCAGAAATTTTACTGCTGTTTAAAAACTTTGTACGGAAGTTGTTCGCAGGGTACATTGGGTACAATGATACTTACTAATATTCGGATTGTGTGGTTTTGCACTACCAGTAACTCATATAACGTAAGCATACCATATTTTCAAGTACATATTTCTCGTATACGTAACTCACGTTTTGGTCCAGTATTAGTCATCGAAACTTCTACTGTTGTAAGTAATTATAAAGTAATTTTTGCACCAAAATATAGTAGTAAAAGAAAATGATTCCTGAGTTCAAACAATGTATCCTTTAGAATGGCTTTACTTTAAAGAATTAGCCAAGATCAAACATACGAAAAAAACTATTAAAATCTACTAACTAAAATACATTTTCTTATCATTCAGAATCTTTTCTCTATTTTGTTACAATGGATCTCACGCACTCAAACATTTGTTTTAATAAAATTAGACCGAGTTTCTGACTGAATTTTTCTAGAGTGGCGAATATCTGCTGGGATTTCGAGTTGATCCACAAGAAAAATTGGACATTATTAATAGATCAATAAATGCACTTAAGAATGCTTTCTGTCTGAAACCTCTTTTTGGAGTACAATTCAGTCGAGAAAAATCGGTAATAATGCAATTTGCGAATAATTAATCTGTTAACAGTGCACTTTTATAGCTAATGATCTCATATATTTCACTTAACTCATTCCATTCCACTTGACTACAGTCAAATCTATTCCTCAAATAGTTATATCTGTAAGCACATATCCATTTTATGTTTTATTCAGTAGCTAAGGCTCCGCAATATATACAATGTTTCCATCATTTCAGAATTCACAAACTTTAAATATTCCTACCAAATAACTCCAAGATTCTTAAACTTTCAATCATTTTCAGGGTTCACCTCAACCTGTAGGAGAATTGATAAAACAAAAAACTGAAGAAGACATTGAAGTCGACGACCGCCCACTCCGACCAGATGCATACGCCGTATGCACCATTTTAATTAAATTTTTAACCACTTCAAATGTTTGTTTGTAAGTAACCTCACCTACGATGACTGCAATGAAAATAGATTTTTAATGATACTCAGACTTCCAGGCTTATTTTGCTGATGGCTTCGTCAGTGGACAAGTTCGGCCACCTACTTACTCACCTGAGCTTGGAGTTGCAATTGAACAACTCAAGGATGGTTTTACTTTAGCCGACCTATGGAAAATTCATGTGGACTAAGTGCATGCAGATTTTAAGCATTTTGGAAAATATTGAAATGATTTACCTATTACTGGTACATTAAGATGTTGTTTTGTCAACCCAACTAATAATCATCAATCTTTTTTGCAACAAAATTCATAAAAAATAATACAAACAACGTATCAAAACTCAAAAAATAATACAAACAAGTACATTAATTTTTATAAGAACAGACAAAACAAGCGAAAATTTACATGAATTAATGCCCACAAATATCCAGACAAACTGAATACATAAGCATCCAGTCATTTTCAGACAAACTTCAGTGCATGCAGATTTAAAAAGACCAAACTAATGAAACAGAAAAGTTAAACATTGAAGCAATATGTATTAAGCACCATTTAAAATTAGAAGCTGAACGGCAAAGAGCCAGTTTCATATGTCTAATTTCTTCAAATTTTTATAGCTCGAATACAACTATGATAAAACTCATTATGATGGCAAATAATAAAAAAAAGAAGCTTGCAAAGGCACTTTTGAAAAATACGAATTATACCCAGAAATATTTATTACCACATTTATTTATTAGAGAAGTACTCTAAAAGCATTTTTTGAATGCACGGCTGGAAAAACTTAGCAATGTCTTAAAAAACCTTTGTAAGTGCAAAAATGATCTCACTTATTTGCTTCCACATTGATTCATATACTATAAAGGATAATATTTCAAATTTTCAATAATATTTCAAATTTTCTACTCCATAACATGAAATAGAGAAAAGGAAAAACAAACAAAAATAAATTTGAATTTGACAGTGTGAATAAACGTAGAAAGAAAAAAATGACAGAAAAAAATTCAACTAATCAACAAATTTTTTGTTCAGGAAATATGAGATGCACAAATATGAATATTTGAGAGCAATCTAGAAACTGAATTATAACAAAACAACATAAATTATGAATAACAGAATGTTCAGTTATAATGATATTGTGTATATTTGGTCATGAAAAGCAAAAAATAAGAATTCGTTACGTGTATGCCCGAGAAAATAAATACTTACGTCTTAAAAAAACTCCTGTGAAATAAAGATATCATACGATTCCAAATAATAAGTATCAGTACGAATTACGATTTTTCTGAATAGCAGAAAAAGATGCTTTTGCATAAATGTAGCAGCATAAATCACTTCAATAATACTATTATAATAGTATTATTGAAGTGCCATCACAAAAAAACACAAAACTATATCTATGGATGCTCTATTCTCATTCCTTTTCAAAACCAGAAAAAATTATAATTTTTTTGAACGGATTTGGTTTGTCTCCGTTTTACATAAATTTCTTACAGAATTCAATGATCTAAAATTCATATTCAAAAATTTCAAAACTCAAAACAGTATTCTATGTGCTATTATCCTCAATATCCTTGGTATGCACTCCAGTAACCTTTATGTTTCCTTTATAAACATATATTCATCCTCATTTCTCAACAGTCGGAATATTGATTCGTTCCGCCAACTTCCAATAACCTTAAAACAAAAAATAGACTAGCATGACATCTTTATCTTCATAAGATAAGAAATTCTAAAACTCTGCGAAAACAAACTTAGGCTTTTTTACTGTGCAATAAAAATATAAATGATTTTGCACACGAAACACTGAGAGCTTCAATCAGACACATCAACAAACCGATTATTACATTTAAGTACTGAGAATTTATCTTAAACAAAAAGTAAAAACCAAGAACCTGATCAGTGACTCTTACTCGAATATCCCGTGGTCCACGAATGAATACACATTTGGCTTTAATGCAAGTCATTTTCTGAATTTGTTCTTTCAATTCATCTAAAGTTCCACTGTATAATTTTATCATCTCATATTCATTGTTTCCATCTAGAGCTATATAAATAGTAGCCTGAGGCTCCAAAGCTCTAAACACAGTAAAGAATTAATGGCACTTAAACACAGGGAAGTGAACTTGACTTGACAATGAACAATAACAAAATAGAAAGATTTATATACAATTTTGTATGCTACTAAAAATCTAAAAAATCATCATCAATAAAAGTCTGATTCAAAAAATAAATTTATCAAAATCAGTCCCATACAGGTAACCGAACTGAAAAAAAAACAATAAGACGCAAGAATAAACTGGAAAGTAATTACTTATTGCGTAATGAGTGAAACAAACGCAGTCCTTCAGGCTTGTCGCCAATTAATGAAGTTAAATCAGCAATGCTCAGTCGAAGAATATCTTCTCCTAAAAAGTTTATTCCGTAGAAATCACACCGTTAATCACAAAAAAACTACTTCTAGACCCATTTTTCATATGCATCAGAGATATTATAGATGAAAATTTCGAGACTCTAAAAAATGAAAGAGCAATTATTTCTTCCATATTTGTCGGAAAAAATAAAATAAAATGTTATTTTGATTACAACGAACAAGAAAGTCAAAAAATAACATGATTTTTGCAATTAACGGAGGAAGTATGCAAATGAAGAATACCAAGATTAAAAAAGTTAGTCAAACCATTATAATTTTGAAAAATTTGCGCATAATGATTGAATCGATGAAAGGTAAGCCATTTAGTGATAAAAACTGGAGAATGATGTGGAAGAACACGTGTTTCAATACTTTCCGATTCTATTGATGAAGTATCTCGAGAAGGATTATCTAACTGAGTGCTAGAACAACTTCGCTTTCTAACAAGCCTTTGAATTTCATCTACATCAGGTGATGTGCAAAGTATACTATTTCTTCTCAATGGTAATATTGAATTATTTAATCCTTTTATTGAAATTGAATCCGTTTTTTCTTTATTATCAGCTTCAAATTCAAATTCTGTCGGCAGAAGATATGTATAGTCATAAGATGGTTGAAATTGTTCCTAAAAAATTGTTGAAATATGTGATGCAAAATTCTCAATTTGCGCCGAATGCAAAATACAAATATAAAACCTTAGTTGCATTTTAAATTTGGTATTTTTTTACATGTCATGCACTCTGAGAAAAAAAATTTAATGGTGGAAACTTATGCATACTTTGGCACATAAATCCTTACTACAGTATTATTACATTATTTTCTTGACATAAATCCCCCCAGTTTATTTTGATATATTCACTGACGTAATCATTAGTTTTTCGTCATCAAATTTTTCGAAAAATAACACATGTGAAAGTTTTTACTTTACAACTGTAACATAATTGACAAATCTCTGAGAAATCTTTTATCTACTTCTACAACATATGAATGCAAAAATACTATTTACCTGCTGTCCATGTAATGCTGCTTTTTTTCGCTCGATCTTTCGCTTCCTTTCAGCACCACGTAACTGAAACAAACTAATTTTCGCCAATTCCATAAATAAAATTTGTATGACTAGAAAACATGCCTTAAAAATTTGAATGAGTGAACTATTTTGTTGCAAAAATTCCATTGATCTACGAGAATAAGTTTCAAAAATGAGCCGAAATGGCTCTCCTTTTCCACCACAAGATTCTGCAAAAAACTGTTGTTCAGTTATATATTTCAATCAAAAATTACTAATAAATAATGCGATAAAGTACCTTTATAAGTAACTGAAAATTGTCTATAACTTAATAATTGCATACAGTGAATTAATATATTTTCATCGAAATATTATCTACTAACACAATGCTCATTGAAATCTGGAAAAATACAACACCAAAAAATATAGCTTTAATAAAGTCACTTAGTGATAAATTATGCAATTCATATAAATTTTAGTGATAAATTCAATAATATCCACAAGTAGACGTTAAGATAATAAGAATTATATCTTATCACTATTACTGTCATTATTAGGTGCACAAATGAATCATTTTACCAACGAAGTCGGAACTTAAAACAAAAAATTTGATATATAATGTAGCATTTAACAATGAGCTATCCCAGACAAATTCGGCTGATCGTAATCCATATTTAACATCTGACACATTTGAACAACTTGGTAAATCTGGAAAACAAGAGAGATTAGAAAATAGCTCCTAGCTTACCTACCGTACACGCACCTGTTCTGTTCTCAGCAATATCCGTTTAAAATGAAATAAAACTTCTGTAATATGCAGGCAAGAATTACCAAACTCAAAGAAACGCTTTCCAGGATTTTTCGATTTCCATATCTCTGTCAACTGTCCTACATGATCACGCGATTTATTTCCATCAAAACAAACAGTGACTACTGTCTGAAGATGAAATTAATTAATCATAAGCAAGAAAAATCAAATTCTCGTGAACTGCCGTGAAAAAAGAATTACGATTAAGAAATATTAAGAATATATCAGTAAATAGAATATGCGAGGTCAATAAATGAGCAAAACAAATTTCAAATTATCACTATTTACTTTAAAAAACAGATCTTGATCTGTTGAACACGAGTCAACTAGACATCTGCGACATTTAATTTCATATGATACATTTTGATTAACAAATGTAACCGCTTCGCTATGTAAAGGCACTGCGGCTGAAGTTGGTGCCATTAAAATATATTCCGCTCTGCAATATTCAAATAAATTAGTACAATTAATGCACTGCAATTGAAGCAATACTTCCTGCTTTTTTATGAAATATTTACTAAAACTTAGAAAACCAAATAAATATTTTTAAAAAAGGCCAATTTGAAATTTCTGAAATTAGGAATTACAACTCCTTGACACATCAAGAATGATAACAAGAACCGTTATTTACACCAAGGTAAATTGTGAATAATAATTAGCTCTCATAATTAATTCATATTTTTCGACTTGTTTTACATACAAATTTTAATTGAATAGAAACTGAAGCGTATATCCTAAGTTCAATTATCAACTATGACTCTTTTTGTCGTATTTATCGATAAAAAAAGCTGAAGTTAAAAGACATACGATGTAGTTGTTGTAGTACGACAACTATTGACAGGGAGTGAAGCCGTCACATTTAGTGATTGCCACATACTACTTTCATTTTCTTCACGGTTATGTACAGTTTCAGGAAACAATTCACTGCTTGATAACAACATATAAATAATACTCTACAAAGTTATTATCAAAAATGTTATTCAAGTAATGAAATTAAACTTCAATAAAAATACGCAAGCTGAATTTTAGGGATCAACAAGTTTAAAAATGGACAGCATGAAGAAAGGTCGACCATTAGAACAATAGAACTAACAAAATCCTATCGCAATTTTTTTTGGCTTCAAAAATATTTGGATGATATTCAATCAACAGATCAAATTAATCATCATATGAATAAATATACAACTAACTGATCTCCTCTACAAATCATTGATATTACTTTAAACTTTAAGATCTACAATGAATATGCAGAAAGTTTTAATCATTTAAAAAAAACTTCACCATAATCTCACTATTTAAAATACCGATGCCTAAATTTACTATGCTAAGAATATCGTGTGTCAACTAGCAGTTGAAGTATTAATAATGTCTCAAACATTATTCTGAATATTTGTTATAATATACTTAAGACGTAGAAAACAAAGTTTGTTATAGTGAAATTACAGCATAAAATACCACTTGCCAACAAATTTATATACATTTGCTGATCCCATGATTCCAATCATAAAAATTACCTACTTGATAATTTGTCGATTAGCAGATGCACGTCCATAATTATGCTACTCATGACTTTATTACTCTAATTTTCATTTATCTCTATACATTTATTGCATCATTTGTTTTATTATTTCTAAAACTCATAATGGAAAAAGTTTAAAAAATATAATAACAATATCAAAGTTACTGAATCTAATGCAAACTCGACACATATATGAAAATAATTTATTTTAAAGAAAAATACATCATGCAACAAAATATAGGCATTTTCATAAAGCTTAGCGCAACAAAAAACACTAATTCATTAAAATAATCCTTTGTCCACTGATTATGAACAGTAGCAACAACAACAATTATAACAATAATTTTGCAAGAAATTAAAAAACAAGTTAAAACAAAAGATCCTTAGAAGCACTATTTTAATTGCTTTGTCTTCTTTGTCATCACTATACATCTGCTCTAAAGTTTGACTGAATTGATCTTAAACAGAAAAATTAATACACAAATTTCATCACCCGATGCAAGAGTCTCCGTAATTTACTTCATAATATGTTGACAAAGATTACCCTATTACCCTGTATTCACCTAACGTAAAAAGTAATTTTATACTTCAAAAAGACACTTATCACGTCAACACTGGAATATGTTTAATTGAGAAGATCCTGAAAAAATCAAAGAATCACTTTCAATATGCCCTAAATTAAGGATGCAACAAAGCAACACAACCTAGATGAATTATGCGAATTTCGACTTGGTTTATTTTTTGGAATTCTTGAACAACAACGTTGAAATGAATTAAGCTCATCAAATTATCAAATAGATAACATGTAATCAATTCATAAATTTGAAAGCATTGTGAAATACATAACAGTAAATATAGCCATATTGACGTAATCAGGCACTGAATGATATGAACATCTGATTAAATGTACTGAATTAACTTGATATATTAATACTGAATACCGAGTAAAGGAGTTCAAAAATAACCTCGGATATCAATAACATCCAACAAACCACAATGTCTTACTTTTGTTGTTTTATGGGACAGCTGCCACTCTAGTTGATCCAGCAGCAGTTTCTTGTTTACCTGATATAATGTCCTTGATTACTCGTACAGATCACAAATATTTCGAGTGAAAGTAAATAAATACAATATAGCTAGTAAAACAATAAAAGGACAAAAATTAAGTAGAAAAGTACTAACTTGAAACAGAACCAGATGGAGTAATAGATGCAGATAATTTTTCCAATTGAGCACTTTCCTTTTTGTAAAATGCATCCACTTCATCAAGCTCTCGACCTAACTCCGCTTCCAAAGCCTAAATTATTTTTTTAACATATCCCAATTAAAAATCTTTCATTCGATAAAGAAGGTTTTTTGTATTTGGCAAATATAATTAAATGAAATGCTTCTAATATTGAGAAAAAAGTTACCATGTGTTGAAATATTGAAATTATAAAAACTTAGCCATACAATTACAGTAATGAAAAATACCAGTAAGTGCTGCAAGAACAGAACCTTGTTTAGTTATGAAAAACTGATACCTGTTTTCTGATAGGTAAACCAGCTTTCCAATCTATTATTACTTGCTCATATTCCTTTTCATAAATTTCCATTTTATTCTGCTCTGCTTCCAGCAACATTTTTCGTTTTTCACTCTATGAATTAAAAGTATCAAATTAAACTGATATAAGTCACTGCTTTCAATAAAGTATTTAATCTTTGAAATCAAATATATTATCTTTTAATAATACTTCTTGACGCTAGAGGAGAACGGTAGTTATATTTCATACCTAACTTTACCAACTTATATATTTTTGTAATTCTCACAACAAATCGGCATATATATATATGAAGTATATATACGTTTGTTTTGAAGGAAAATAACAAGGATAAAAGTTTGTAAAACAGAAATTTAACTAACATGAATTTCTTCCAGTTCTTTCATTGCTGTTGCATTTTTTTCTCTAAGCTCTTTCAATTTTCGAGCATATTTACTGTCATGTTCTTCTAAAGCATTTCGAACTCGGTGTTTTTCTTTTTCTTCAAATGCTCGTATCTTATCATTTAGTGTTGCAGGATCATCATTCTGCAAACAAAAAAATATTGTTAAAAGCCATGTTAAAAAATTATACATCAGTACATAATTTCGAAACTGTAGTTTTAGTTACCTGACAGGAAATACGTAGACTTTCTTTAAACATGGCAATACGAGTTTTAGATTCAGTGCGAAAATCCTTTGGTAAACGTTTCTTGAAATTAGCATACAATCGTACTTGTTCTTCTTCATCCATTTCATTCACTCGACGCATATGATCCAATTCCTACAATATAAGTCACAATAATTGAAATGTCATAACATTGCAAAATTTTTAATTTATAAAATAGGTTATAAAAATTACCCGTTGGTGCCGGGCAAACATTTGACTTCTTTGCAGATAGAAGCGATCTTTTAATTCTTGCTTGTTGAGAAGATGACGCTCTGCCAACTGCTTCTCTTCCAGATCCCATTCTGAGGCTTCACGTGATCTGTAAACGATCAAAAACATTAAGCTTACTTTTTACATTAAACTTCTTAAACATTAAACTGTGGAATGAATTCTCCATTCTGCAATGAAAATATAAGAAGATGCAATTCCTCAACAATGAATAAAAATTTGACAAAACTAGAAACAACCTTCAAAAAATAGCTCCTTATTTTAGCAAGTAAATATACAAATTAAGAACCTCAAAATGGTATGTTTCTGTTGCAGGAAATTTTTTTCCATCTGTAAAATTTTCATTTTGTGATCTATTTGCACACGTGTTAAGCGGGTAGTTTGGTCGGACTGTTGTTCGGCAATGAAATTTATCTCCTGAAAAACGGCCCCTAGTAATTTTGAAAAACAGCACTTATTAGAAAACCTTACAAAAATACCTACGAGAATGCTTACCCTATTCTGTTGCTCTTTATCAAGTTGTTCCTTTCGTATACGGTAAGAATCTTTACGTTTAGCTTTAGGAATCATATCTATTTCCATTTTTAAATCACGTTGTTCCTGTTTCAGTTCCTCACGAAAAAGTCGTAGTTCTCGTTCCTAATGTACAAAATTTTTTAAATTCCACAAGAGACTAATGAAAATCGAAATTTGCGCTTCTTTATGTAATGAAAATCCTATAATCTTCTAAATGGTGAGGCTGTTCAAAAAAATGCACCAACTGACAGTTACTTTTAAACAATATTTAATATACAAAAGACTCTGTCCTAATAAATATTTACTAATCATATGAAAGTAGAGAGATGATATATTTAGGCAAGCAATTTTAAATAATTAAAAATTATTTCCTTAAACAAGATAACAAACGAGACTCACCTGATCACTCTGCATTCTTTTTATCACTTGTTTCAAATCTTCATTATGTATTTCTTCACAATCTTTCAAGTGCCTCTTTTGCGTTCTAGCTAAGGACTGCAATTCAATATCTGCTTTCTTATAGATATTCTGAAAAACAGCAGTGTTCAGTTCTAACATTAAAAAAAAAAGATTTTCATATAAATTAAAATAGAAGGAAAAAAAATGCGAACTATAATGACTAAGTTTATTAATTATCGTCTATAATGACACCATTAACTTAACATGTAAGTTTTCAGAAACTGAACATATGAAAATTAACAAATAAACATACACTAAAGCTGGCATAAAATTTTAAAAATCTAAAAACTGTGCACTCCAGAAAATGAATAAAACATTACTTCCTTGTCGATAGCGAAACGCTTCATTTGCTCATTTCGTAACGCTTCTGCTTTTGCATTCAATTCACGTTGCTGACGAGCTTCCTCGCGCTGCAGCCGACGTAATTCATGCAACTGTTGTTTCCTAAAAACGAATTAATGATTTACATTGAAAAATATTAGAAAACACTTATCATATCTATACGCCAAAGCATTAACAACGAGATGAATAAAAACCTGAGTAACCAAAAGTACCAATCTCATAGCAATCACAATGACGTTTTTGATACGCTTTAAAATTGAGATGTCGCGGTATTGTTACCTATTTAAGATTATTTTCTTCACTACACAGATATTCATTTGGAGACTCGTTTATTAATGAATTAAGAAATTATATGTTTTCTAAGTTCGCTACATTTTGAATACTTTTCTTTATTTTCAAGAACACTATACAATTCAATACAAGGTGATTTTTAACACTAAAAATAGCGCACAAATTGGCTCTACCCTCATGTCAATTTTGTTTTCTAATTTCATGGTAATTGCAATAATATATTAGAAGAGTGATAGAAATACTAATAGTGTTACGAATGAGTCAAAAATACACGAACACACACATTCCAAAACTCAAGCACGATAAGCGAGCATAACAATACTTACGATTACTAAACAATTTAAGGAATGTTTGAAGCAATTTACAAGACTAACCAGTCACCAGTAAGTGATATGTAGTACCGTGGAATGAGGCTAGAAAAATTTCGAATGCTCACAAATCTAACAAAAAGACTGAATTCATAAATAACAAAAGGAGGAATGTAATTTTTATCCTGGATTAGAAGTTTTAATTTATGGATTTAATTTTATTCAAGTTGAGATTTCTTGTAAGCACATAAAGCTTCTTTCATAAGTTAACTACGTCATTAGATACTACCAATCAAGTAATATTTCAAAAAAAAAAAAAGATTTTCGAGCAAGGAAATTGTTTGTATATCTACATGTAGCAAAGCTCTAACTGATAAAATTTCGATTGCAAACTCAAGATTTTTCAACTTACTAAGCGATGAAAAGATTAAGACTCGATAAACTACAATTCAGTATAAAAAATGAAAATATAAAAATGCAATTTATAAAACATTAATCGCACACACCATTTCATAAAACTAGTTGGTTAACCTTAATTCATAATCTTGTTTGACACCGAACACCTGATGCGAAGTTGATGTCATCTGTATACCATCAACAACGTACACTCGAGTTTTCTTAGTTACAGTTTGACGATGAGGTGAACGACGTGATCCAACCATCAAAACATCCGAGTTTAAAACCTTGATTGAAGCAAAAATAAATGACAATGAATTGCTAACTACAAAAATGCGAGATCTAATAATCAGAAAGAATTTCAACCCAAGTTCAGTGGTAAACGTTCAACACTAAACAAATCAAAGATAGGTCGCAAATGATGGGTTACTCAAATTGGCTGATATATTGACATAAAAACAAAAAGTAGTTGCCGATTTACTTTGGAGCTATTCTTCGTTGATTTTTTGAGACCTGAAACAGTGTGATGTGAACTTGAATTCCTTCCATCACCCCTGCAACTTATGCTATTTTCGTAGTAATCCACTGGTGGCTCAGGAGGAGGGACAGTTAAACCTGTTCGACTCACATGTGTTTTCGATGGAGATACTACTACTAAATCTGTAGTTATAGTGTTACTTTCACTTCGAATAAGCGCTTTGCCAAAATTGGAGCTGTTTTGCTGCAAAACAGAATAATAGGGACTGCACTCATATATACTATACTATGGTAAAGAATAATGCATCTTAAGTCGCTAAATAAAAACTAACAGTGAATAAGAGGATAACGAGAAAACGGACATTTAAAAAAATTTGGCAATTATCATTATAACATCGCAAATGCAAAAATGAATACTCGAAATTATGCCAGTATTAAAAGAATTAATCACCAACAAATGCACACTCAAGTGCATCAAAACTGAACAATGCAGAAATTGAAACATTATCATATTACTAAACCTCAAGGAAGTTAGGTTCATAATTGCGTCGCTGAACGTGATTACTAGATTTCGATGAACTTGATGATGAAGATGCGAAATAATCACAATCTTGTCCCTGAAATTAAGGTATGGAGGCATTTTTAACATCCATCTCACTCAAAATAGTTTTAATAAAATCGATAAAACATGACTGTAAACAGTAAATTGAAGAATATTCTATAATGATAATTTTGAAACCAAAAAGAAAACCATTTTAAGTGTTAAAACCTGTTAAATGAATTTTCTGCTTTAATACATGTTTTAAAAAAAGCAATATAATTTTACACAAAAAGATAATTGGCTCATGAGGATAAATTTGTCTACGAAGAAGAAATAAAACTTAGAAAAATATTTACAGGTTGTATTTTCTTCTCCTTTCTACTTGTTGTGGGAGTGACTTGATAATAATGACTAGAGACCGCGGTATTTAGATTTTCCATTTTGTGATTTTTTTGTTCCCATGCATTTTTATCCAATAACAATTTGTTATGATCTTCACTTTGTTCCGCATTTGACAACTGACAATTCTAAATCCATAAATAAAATTAATAAGCTATGCTTTTACAATATTGACAAACTTTTAAAAATCTAATTAATTTATAAACTGAAACTACATGAACTACCCCATTATCTGCTTTCATCCTATTTTGCCTTTGCCCCCGAGCACGATCAGCAACTTGTGATATAATGTCATTCTGTTGCGAAGATTGTATTGCTGAGAGCGTTGATAAACCATTACGAGATTCAGTTGACTTGACATCCTTTAAATAATATTTCCATTTACAGCAGCATAAAAATAAAAAGAACGGCCTAAAACTTATGAGAAAATAGAATACAAGCTTTTCATATGAGCAACTTTTCATAATAAAATAACATATCAAAATGCTTATAATTCTTTCTTGCAAATGCAATATTTCTTTGAATGTTACAGTTTTTCGATATAAAAGTGCTCACTTCTTGATTACTTTTATTCTTGGATTCTGGATACGATAATGGCCGACGAACTTCAACTATTGTTTTACTCGTTTCTGTATCTGGTGAACTGACAGCAGTATCAGTCATTGCAAAAGTTTTAGAAGAATGCTGAAGAACTACATTCTGCGCGTTTATTTCAACATCAAGGTGAGGAAGAACTTTAACTTCTGCTCTCTCAGAATGATCATAATGTGCCGGATTCTGGTACATGAGAAGAGAATTCTTAAAAAAGTTCAAATGCTGAGATTAATTTGATTCTAATTCGATCCATGGAAATACTAAATTTTAGAAACATAATTTTAGAAACACAATTTTTAAAAATATTAAATTTTAGAAACATAATTTCCTAGAAACATCTAAACAAATGTGCAGAACAACTTAATATTCTAGAAGCAATTTGAATGCTTAAGAACTACTTATATATACTTATGATCAATGATATTAAACGAAAGGAGTATTATGATTCATCAAGTATATTGCACAATTACCATAACTTCTAAAAGAAAGTTTTATGAACCAAGTAATCTTTATTGAGCAATAAAGATCATTTGATCTATTGAATGTTTTGAGAGTCAACAAATACTTCTTGAAAAGTGTAAAGAAACTCACTCGTTCCGATGAAGACTTTCCAAACCGCGAAAAATTTTTATATGCATGATTATCAGATCCAGTAGGTTCACTAGCACTATCCTATTAATGCAAAAAACTGATATATAAAAAAGTAAATCCTAATTATAGTCAACAACTATATATAATATATATTTGATTTCATAGATATATAAATAGTGTATATTCATATTTTTTATTAAGCAACGAAACAGCAAAAGATAATGTTGAGAACGAAATGAATTACTACCTGAAACGTAGTAAGCGGATTGCACCTACTGGTAGTTTTCTGTGTCACGGACTTATTTATGTATTCATTTGATAATGAAGCACCCAAGGGACGTTTATTCGTAGGACGATAAATACCTATCATTGTGGTACTCGGAGAAAAACCAACTTGTATTAATTGACGTGGACGAGCCTTTAAATAAGTAATATTAAAATAGGAAATTCTAATAAAAAAGGAAGGATAAGATAATCATGGGAATCGAAGCCCTTTTTATGAAATCAAAATACGACAATCTTTTTGAAGGCAGAGAAACTGAAAATAAAAAGTACTAATTATTAACTTCACAGCAGAAAAATAAGGAAATTATTCGGTAAAAAAGACTGAATCATGGAATAAGAACCTCTACAATTGTCGGTTTGTTAGCAACAACAATTTGTGCTTGTGACATACACCGCTGTGTAACTGTAGGATCTATGAAATCTTCATTGCCAAGCTGAAATTACAACAAATTTTAGTTCCACATCAGAATTTGGGCATTTCAAATTTTCAAACTATGTATATATAAATTCAATTTACCTTTACAAGAGAATCAAATGATTTGTACGCCGTGATATCGTTTTTCTTGTCCATTTTCAGAAGATAAGACTGGTGAATAGCAGGCTGTAAAAGATAACGGGAATCGAAAATAGAAGATAGTTTCTAAAAAATTAATAATGGTAGTTAATTGAAAAAAATCGATAGTCGATAGTAGAGCACTCATAAAATTTGCAAGCAGATTTTTCAGCCACAGCCATTTATTATTTATATTACTACGAAAAAGGAAAAAACACGCAGTGCCAAAATCATTTCCATATATGCAATCGAACAACGAACATGGTTTCGATGTCGAGAATCACAAACTTTGCCGGTTTCTACTGACTTCGGAGCATCTATTTCTTCATTCGAAAACACCTACAAAAAGTAGCTTAAAAAGCCAAATAAAGTAGATTCATGTATCTCAGTTATTAAAAGAAACTTAGCAAAAAGCCTTTAATACAATTTTAACAAAACTTTTAATTTTTTGAAGCTATAGTAGTATAACTAATAAGTAGTGATAATTCAGTTTCTGTGCTAAAATGTATCCAAAGAATATGAAATGAATTTGCTGTTGGTGAAAAATATATTAAACTTTTGAGCTAATAATACAGTTTAACAAGAGTTAAGGAATTATTGCAATATTCGCTAATTAAATAAAGCTTGACTTCTATGAAAATGTATTGAACTGGTATAGAAAAAATATTGATGAAATAATCAAAGATTTAATTGAATAAGAAACCAAATGCATTAGAGTAGAAAGTGTGTGCAATATTATGTAAAAATATTTTGCGATATTATATGAACAATTCGACCTCTACTTTCAACTGCTGTTTAGTCGAAAGTTTTAAGCTATATACAAAACTAGCTTCTTCTGTGATATTTGGCTCAATGAAGTTCACTTCGGCATTTGTTTCAGTGAATTTGTTGCTGGCTGAATCATGAGATGCTGTTAAAACTGCTCCCATTTCAGTAATTCGAACCTGTAATTCCAACAAAGTCAATTTAACTCAACTAATGACAATCACTAATTTTAGTATATTTGTAAGTAAAAATTTTTTTGAACTTCAATATTATAAAAATCAAGATAATATAAATAAAGGTTAAGAACTGTTGTAGGTTGTCCCAGCGATGGTAACTGCTTTTCCTCTTCCACAAGATCATCTGTCTTCGATTCAACACTATCTGATTTATCTAAAATCAGTAACATATCTATCATATGTTCAATACTATATTTACTTAACTTCAGTTTTCCAGCGCATAGTAAAACATAATGAATACGAAGTACTCACCACCAATTTTATTTTTCGTACCAAATTTGGAACTTGCAATTGAACTTCTAGAATCGGATATATTCTTTTCTTCATCACTGCTAGGAGAAGTAACTCTTGTTAACACCTGCGTTAACGCAGGAGATTTTGATCGAAGTAAACGAGGGCTAGGTGATGAAGCTTCCATTGAGGAAGAATAATCTAAAGTTGGGACAGGAAACTTCGAAAACACAAGCTTTGAAAGACTGATATTTTCATTCTTGAAATGACTGTGAGAAACTTTAAACAATAATAATCAATTTGAAACATACCCTAAGTCAAGCTAGATATTTGATTAAAATATTGAAATCTTGATAAATTTATTAAGATGGCATAATTTTAGATAATTTTTTTGTAAATTACGACCGGAAATTGACCATGAACGCAATGACGTATTAATTTCTTTTCAAATATTGAAGACAATATAGTTTAAAAGAGAATCAAACATACCTTCTTCACCAGATTCATAGATCCCTTCACCTTCTAAATTCAATGTTTTATCGAGATCTAGAAGGGCAGATACAGCTGCATCATGATGTGCTTCTCCAGAAATAGCACCGCTCTCTACATTAGTAATTTTGACAAGTTCTGTTTTCTTTGATTCTGCTTCATCTCCAACATTGATTTCCACAACTGCCACCTATAAATAAGACCCTGATAACAAAAAATGGCATAATAATTGCCAAATTAAAATTAAAGATTCACAAAAGACTTACAGTGCTTTCCGGTAAATTTGGCGTATTTCTTGGTATTAAACACGTTGAGTTGTCAATGGTCTCAGAATTATTTTCGATACATACAGTGCTAATTTGTAATGCTGATGATAACTTTACAGCAGCAATTGTATCGTTATTTTCTATTGCTAATTTTGAAGTGACTGTTTCCACTGGCATAGATGTTTTTTGACAAGTGCCAGGCAAAATGAAATGGCGTAATTGCTTACTACTAAGACTACTTGTATCGTCTAGTTTGACCTGCAAACATTTAGCATACTTAAATTGCAAGTCACGTTTAAATTCTAATAAACTTCAAGAAAATTATGAGAGCAAATAATTTAATTCATAACAAATATGAGAGCAAATAATTTAATTCATAACAAATATGAAAGCCCATAATTATAAAATAAGAGTATTTCTTAACCTCACTGGCTGTTGCTGCACTGCTCACAGTTGCTGTATCATCATCATCCTCATCGTACAATGTTTCATCGTCACTATTCATTACTAATTCTGTTGTAATTTGTTCAGCATTTACTTCGCTAATTAATGATCGAATAGTCTGGACTGAACCCACTTGAGCAAAAAATGGATGCTGAAACAGAAGTCACAATTTTATCACTAACTTCATTTTAGTTTTGAACAGAAATTAGCTTAGTAAGGAAAGATTATAATATCATATCAAATAATAAAAATGTAAATCTTTCGAACTTACGTATGGTTAAAAAATTAGAATATGCTTAAATCACCACATAATTCTATATGTTTTATTCCAGTAAGATGTTCCGAAACCTCAAACATGATTTGAGCTATCAAAAACTACAACAAAAAAAAAATGGAAATATCTAAATACAAACCAAAAATAATTTGAAAGATAAATATTCCGCTCGAAATGAATAATTCATTTTGTTTTCTAATGGCACATGTCTCCAATTCAAATTTTTTAAAGTGATGAGTAGAACCTTTTAGAACAAAAAAGAATTACTTCTAGTAGATTAGCAGCAGTTGGTCTGTATACTGGGTCTTTCATTAAACATCTTGCGATAACATGTCGAAAATTGGACGACCACAAACTGGGGCGCTCCAAAGTTGGAGGTTCTGCTTTTATAACCTAAGAATATTAGAGCAGTATAACAGATATTTAAAAATCTGGACATCTGCTTTCTAGAACGCAAAAATAAGCTTCAAGTTCATTTCAAAAAACTATCGAAATCCTGATACAAAACAAAAAAAAAACATACTTTAAAAATCACTTTTGCTGGATTCATTTCAGCATATGGTGGTTTTTCTTCAGCCATTTCAATAAGAGTAATTCCAAAACTCCAGATATCAGCTAATTTACTGTAATGCTTTTCAGGAAATGTCTCACATACCATTACTTCTGGAGCCATCCTATAAACTTTCTAAGATCACCCAATTTAGAGTGAATTTACATAATGTGTCTTTCCTCAGTAAAATATATTTAAAATTAAAATATTTTTCAGCTATACAGAATGACATCATATACCAATACGGTGTTCCAATAAATGTAGATCGTACTTCCCGCGCATCTTTGCACAAAGCAGACACGCCAAAATCCGCTGTAAATCAAAAGGTTCAAACGAACTTTTTTAGTAGATGCATTATCTGTTTTTCGGAAAATTAATTTTTTCAGCATTTGAATACACATAGTGGAAACATATTCATGCATATTTAATAATTTTTTATTACATAATTGTTGTCATTTTGTAATAAGTAAACAAGATTACCTAATTTTACTCTAGCATCGCTTGTCAACAGTACATTGCCAGCTTTTAAATCTCGATGAATTACATTTTTATTGTGTAGAAAATCCAGTGCTTTTAAAATTTCTTTCATGATGTAATGAATTTGTTGCTCCGTAAGATGACGTGAAAGTTCCATCATTATGCTGTCAACGGCTCCTCCGCCACAATATTCCAGTAAAAGCTAAAAAACCTGGCAATTTAATATCCAGTTAGTCATAAAAACTTATTTTTAAATTACAAAACAATGAATCATGGTCGTTAATTTCAGACATGGAAGACTACATACAATACTGAGACATGAATGACTCTGAAATCGGACCGCACTACCTAGAATGATGACAAAATGTAAGATTTATATTTAATACCTTTTAGATAAGCAATAAATTTTGTTGTTTAATTACTTTAGCATAAATGCTTATGAAAAGAACTTTGCAATGCTCTTTTCTGTTACTTAAATGTTGTAGGAAAAATTATAAAATGACAAAAATTTCGAGTGTGCTTTTCATCAATAGTTTTTTTATAAAATTATTAATATAAATATGTACGGTAACGCGATTGCCCATAGTAAATGCATCATAAAGTTCGACAATATTGGGATGTTTACACTGAGTTAAAATTGAAACTTCAACCATAACATCTTGACTTTCATCATCGTCCAATTCCATAGCCTGAAATAAAACTTCTGCCTGCTCTTGTTTTCAAGATTTTCAAAAACGTAGTGAAAAATTAAAACAAAAGATGAAAAATCATAAAATAAAAACACACCTTTGCTGCGGCTATTTTGTTTGGATCTAATTTTGATCGCGCTCTGTAAACATTTCCAAATGCACCATCACCAATTACCTCATCTAATGTCCAGTAATCACATACGTCCGTTTCAACTCGAACAATACTTGGAGTAATCTTGTTTCCAATACCAGAACTTGATTTGTGACTATCACTGCCAAAATTTGAACCAAGAATAAAAAGTTTTTTTAGTCGATTCACTATAGGCATTACAAAATTAGCATCTGCTTTTTTCTCTGCAAAAAAATAAATCAATTTAAAAATCATTGTTCAAGTACATATTCGTGAAAATCTTTGCGCATTAAAAATGATCAGATTTAAAAGTATGAAATAAAATAAAATGAATTTGAATTTCAAAGCCGTAGAAAAATTTTCTCCAAATTATATGCAACAATGAATATGTATGCATCTACTATTCAACAAAACTTTACGCTACTGCATTTGCATGTTCGTAAAAATATTTTCAGTAAAGTTAATACATGTGCTAAATGCTGATTAAATAACTAAAAAACCACCAATTATTTTCATATACAACCAAGTGAGTAACAGAAAATAAAAGTATATAAGAATCACTGCTAGGCATAAATTCCTACTTATACTAGTTCTTAAATAGTATCTTAACTAGCGAGCTCATAAACAAATAAATGAATGCATCAATAAGCAAAATATTAGTTGAGATACCAAAATTTGAAGATGACGTGAGGAAGTGTTCGGTAAAATGTAGGAAGAAGAAAAAAAACTTAGTACTAAAGACGTTGAAATAGATAAATAGATAGATGGATAGATGGATAGATGGATAAATGGATAGATAGACAGATAGATAGATGAATAGATAGATGAACAGATTGATTGATAAATAGATGGATAAATGGACAGAAATTTCGAGAGCAAAGATAAAATGAGTGAGTAAGGTACGTAACGTTACATTGGTCTTCCATCTTGCTTTAATTTTCATTTACAACATTGTTGGATCGGATGACAATCTAGCTTTCTAGAACTCGAACTCACAAGCATAGCGGCTTTTTTATTTCCGATGTATCCATGCTAGATTGATTCTAAACGAAAATACAAACCGCATACGGAAATACAGGTAAAAATTTTTCCACCTTTCTTCTACTTTACATTTTAAAGTTTCTATAAGTTTATAATTTTATTATACTTTGAAGAATTAGCTTGCAATTTTTTATTTGTACTTCAGCTTAATTCACTCTCACACACGTGTCATAATTTTATTATCAAATATAATTACCTAAATAATTCATCAAATGTCTCAAAAGCGATCACAATATTATTACTGGAAACGAGTGCAACTAGTAGCTATTAATTCTCTGTATCAAATTTGCTTTCCTTGTGTTGCTGATAAGTAGCAATAGTCAAAAAGTACGGCCATAATGAATGACACTTATTTCTTACTTCTTGACATCGTTCGTGAATTACACGTACTACATGCAAGCATACAAATTGCACATTTTGTTGTACTTAACAATAAATACATCAGTAATCAATGAACACACACTTATTTATTACTCAAGTAATAATTACTTACTATAAGAACCTACTCTTGACATTTTTTAATACGAATCAATAAATCACTGTATAACTCATCTGTTATACTTTCCAACACCATTTTTATGGCACTTATGTGAGTTATTTTAATCGAAATAGATTGAGTAGAAATAATATACAATATTGAAACTTTTACTATATTTCAGACGACCTTTTATTTTCTTACTACTTGTAGTCTAAAACTTAGGAATAACTTTCAAAACTATACTAGTTCCATTGTTTAGTTCAAAAAAATATTGCCAAGATTGTGAGTTTGTGAGTTTAAACAATTATTACATGTAATAAACCTCTGTTAGCATTTTGTCGTTTCGCCCCATTTCTAAAGCATTACAGCATTAGAAAACTATGAATGCTGACTTCTTTCTCCAAACTATCACTAACTTTTACTTTACATTACTTAAGTTTTAAACTTCAAAAACAAAACTTTGAATAACTTTCTTCAAAGTCATAATAATTTTATAAATTTTTCTATAGCTTTATTTTTTCTTCTAAAACTTTTTCGAGTAATTCAAAAAAAAAAGTAGTAAAATGCATAAAAATGGAAACAATCAATAAATATAAGAATAGAAAGTTTATATATGTATAACTTTATAGCATAGCATGTTTGATGTTTGTAAATGCAAGACAGTTTTTGCAAAAAGTTCCGTCAAATTTCCTTACTGCTATCAGTAATGAGTAATTCCAATTTACATTGAAATGCCTTGCAAACAATTGCTAGGAGTGAGTGATGAATCTTTCCTGTTCATCACTAATTTTCATCATTCTATCTGCCATTTTTTCTTAAAAGTTTTCTGAAAATTTTATTTACAAAAAAATTCATTTCAAAAAACTTCTCGACTGAATCTTTGAGTATTAAGTTCTTAAGCTCAATTTTCGTATTATAATCAATAAAGCACACTTGTGGTCATTTGAAAAATCATTTAAACTCATAGCAAATTGACTTCAAGGAAAAAATAACTGCTACAAAAATTATTAACAAAATTTAAGCTGCTATTTCATTTCTCTAGAAATTTACAAGTTTACATTAAAACAAGAATTTTGACATTTTACTTAAATACTGAAAAATAAAACACCAAATGACTTTTATTTAGAAATATGTACTTTGCAAAATTTGGAAGATAAATCTAGCCAAGAAGAATTAGTAAACATTTTGTCTGAAGAATCAATGCTTAGTACTGATAAAATATGAAATGATTAAATCAACGGTAGTTGTGATGACAGACAAATAAAATCAATTTATTTATGAGTATAGCATAAAAAAATGAAGGACACGTGCTTGCTTTAAGTGATGCAATATAGTGATCAGAATTTAAAATATGACGTGTAGTATACTCGTTTCGTATTATGACAGCCGTAAATATTTTTTTAATTAGAAGAACTGAAAGAGATGAAGAAAAAGTGAGTCATAACGTAAAAAATGTAAAAAGTCTTGTTTTATAATAAAAATTAAGAAAACATACTAGCTTAATCATTGTTTGAAAACTATAAAAATATTTCATAATTCTTCACTGCGTCACATAAAAAAACGTGTTGTAAAGGACGTGAATAGAATGCTAACATCCAAACTACGTAAATTAAGTTATAAAGTAAAAGCTCACGCAATTAAGAAGAGATAAATAAGATTTACATAAGGAAAACCACATAGCAATTCAGCATGTTTTCTTTCTCCCTTACTGACTCATCAAAATTTTAAGGTTGGGCCTTGTTTTCCCAAAAATATTAACCCAATTATTGCGTGAAATACGTAAGCATGTCATGTATTACTCCCTAATTTCTTTCATTATTACCATAAATCTGACACTTAGTACAGAATATCTTACATGCTGCTGGAGCGGAGAAAAAACAGCCTTTCACTTATTAATATATGAATATTTGATGGTGGTGGCCCGGGTCTGCTTTTAATGCTCGGAGCTTAATCAGAGTAAAATTTCATTCATAATTAAGTATAGAGTTAATTACTTAAAATATTTATTAGGTTTTATTACTGATTTGCTCACTAATTGATTTTATAAATATTCGCAGGTATAAATGTTACATTTTAATTTTTGAGTTATGATTGGTAAGTATTTATAACGACTTAAATTTAAGTACATCAATTATTCTTCAATGAGTTCTCGTTAGTTGCGATATCGTATTTACATAAAATAAAATAGCAACTGATGGTAGGCAAATTTGAAGCTTAAACTGAGTATTATCAACTAATTTCTTGTTGATTACTGTATGGTTGTAACTATAAATATGCATGGCCCTTGAGAAAATCTGCACGTAACTTTTGACATTACGTATTCAACCACAAAAACTTCATTATATATTCCCAACTACAATCATCTCTCAAGCAAATATGTTATGTGTACCAAAATATTTGATTTTGCATATTATCTTCATTATTTATCGAGTTTCTAAATGTACGTTAGTATCATGCGTGTTCGTGAAATTCTGCCTAGAAATACAATTTTTATATTAAAAGAAAACTTCTTTCATAGAATGAACAGTAACTACAGCGGAGGTAGAAGACGTACTGTAAGTCGGCAGACAGCTGAGGAGCAAGTACTCGATCGAATTTCTCGAGATGTAAGAATTCTTTTAACTTTTTGATTACTTTTATTGTATGGAAAATCTTATCTAAAAACATATGGGTAACAATTCAGTTAATGATAAAAACAGTTAGGAAGATAATTTTTAAATTAATTAAATTTAAAATTTATTTAAGACAAAATTAGTCAAATTCTGACAACTCTCTGTTACCATTGCGTCATGTGTAACGTTCGTTTTCGTTCCTATACGTATTACGTGTATTTTACTTAACTCATTCACAGTGTGGAAATTCCTGTTCTACCAAGAAAATTGAGCTCATTATAAATTTATATTACACTTACAACTATGTTTTGTGATTCATAAAGTTTACAAATATTCTTAACATTCATTTGCCTTATTTTTAATAAAATGCAAATATTACACATGCATGCATTCTGAACATTTGTCTAAGAACCAAAAATGTATAGTTAGAGAGTACCTCGAATAATCATTAGGAAGTGATTACCATTTTGATATGTATATAAAATTGATTCAAAACGATCAAATAGGTGGAGTTGTGTGATTTATGACAGTTATTTTAAACTTTTATGAAATAGTAATTACAGGCAGAAGAACGAATGACACGTAAAAGACAAGCTCGTGAAGAGGCACGACAGATACGTTTAGAGCAACTTGAGAGACAGTATCGAGAGGTATTGTTATACCTAATATAAATTAATGTTTTGATATTGTACACTGTACATGGATTGTGCCGGAATTCTTTTGATGGAAAATAGTTCCAAGTGCGTCCTGGACTTCTAAAAAGAACTTAATGTTCTGAAATTGTTTCAAAGAATAGAATCATTAGAATACTCATTTTACAATAAATGTTAGTACTAGTAAGCAAAGTACAAATTATTACAAGATTACATGGAAAAGTAAAAAGATCATTAAGAAGTGTTGAGTAGTCGCTGTTTAAAAAAAATTTTATTTCTTGACAGGAATTGTTCGTTCTATTTTTTTCATTAGTTTATTGAAATTAAATTTTGCTAAAGTAAGAGTAAAGTAACGAAGTTTGAGTAGATAAAATTTGATAAATATCAAATTTTAAGTTTGAGTAGATAAAATTTGATATTTATCATTAGTATCTTTATCATCATTATCAAGTTTTATTTGTAAAAGAGCGTTGTTCCCTTGAATCACAAAAAGAATGCTAGAAAACTCGTTATAATATTTACTTTGAAAAATATAATTACATTTTACTTTTTATTCCTATAAACTAATTATGGTTAATTTTCAATTTTTAACCAATGATCAATAAACGCGCATTTGAAAGTAAAGTTAGAGAATTGTCAGGAATACTTTGCAACCTTAAAAGAATTACTTTGTGAAAGCAAAGAAGAGAACAAGTATTATATATTATTTTCCTCACTATAGCTATAATTTGACTGCAAACTGGTTCCTCGATACTTGCACATGGCTGCTAGTGTGGAAGGGATGATGAACATAAAGCCAACAGTAGCCGTTTATTGTGTTACATTGATTTCTTACAATCTTACAACCTCTCCACCGTCGCCATCACTATTAGTAGTATTACGATTATTGCTTTACTACTGTGTATCTATCTATCTATCTATCTATGTGTCTGAAGTATGCAAATTTGTATGTAGCACTCATCATTCTGAGTCCTATTTGTTAACTGTTAACTTTACTGTGAGAATGAGTAGTTGTTAACTTCTTCGATGTAAAGAAGAGAAATAAATAAAAATGCGAATTCGTCGATGGTACTTTCGTAAAAAACGACTACAATTTTTGGTAGATTTTTGATGCTGCAACAATGTCTCCAGTTACCTGCAAAGATTATTCTCACTGCAAATTGCATGCATTTTTTTGAATTTGAGACAGATAAGCTTGCAGTTATTAACTGCTTCATTTGTGTAAGCAATGAGAAATTGTGAATATTCGTTATTTAGTTATGTTTATCATAGAATATTTAAAATTTAAGAGATGATTCTTATTTCACTTTTTCACTTTGAAATAAAAATTTTGATCGAACATCCACATTGAAAGTGACTTTAAAAGTCACTTTCTAGATGTTAAATTTAAAGAAATAATGGAATGGAATTAAGTATGAAAGCAGTTTTTGAGAAAGAGCGACTGAAAGATTATTGAAAAAATAATTAGTGGTTATCTTTCAACGCTATGCAAGCATTATTCATATTTTAGGCTGGAGCAGATGATTACAAAAGCACTGATGGAAATGGGGATGTGAGTTTTTTTTTTCCTTTTTTTTTTGAATTTCAATTTATCTGAGTAGTTTTTTCAGTTTTTATTTCCATGCTAGTGCTATTGGGTATTTTCGAGCTCATCCGAGATTGCTGTAAAATTGACATAATTTAAAATCCAATAATATTTTCTTCAAACTTCATCCATTAAATCATTATTAACTATTTGTTTCATTCGTTGACTAAAGTTCGGTTCTTTTCTCAACGCCATTACAAATGTTGCTGATTATTAATAATTATGATGCTTATCACTGTTTTGATCAAATTTTTATCAGATTCTCGATGATTTATGTTTTCTTTTCTTTTCTTTTCTTTTCTTTTCTTAATGGCCAAGATTCGGAAGATAATTACTGTTTCTCTGTCATCTTGTTGCTGGCTTTATGACAACTAATTATGCTCTTATCAGGTTCTTGGTCACTTTATATATCATGTCCAGTTCTGTTTCCATGTCTACTTGTAGTAAGAGTTTTAATAACTTGAAGTTTTACATTTTTTTACTATGCATTATTTATGTATACAGTAAATAATGTCTTATATTTGTAAAGGAAGTAGCAAGTCGAGATGTTTGTATTTAAATTTTGAGCAGATAGTTTTTGGAGTTGCTGAAAATTTGACCAGAGGACGGACTTTAATCTGCATATTTTCGTGGTTTAGTTATCATTTTCGCAATTCATACATGCATGCATAACTGTATTTTAACCCTTGTTTGCTGTGAGAAAGTATCATTCAAGAAAAACTTTTTAACAAGATGTTGGTAACTTTTTATTAATGTATAAAGCCAATATCTTTTTTTTTGCAAAAAAATGTTATTTAATTATTTTCTGCTATTTTCTGTGCTAATAATGCTTGCATGTTGTTTGTGTGATTTAGAAGGATAGTACTCCTGCAACTTCGTCCAATTCTCGAGGAGGTACACCATCTAGGGAAAATAAAGCACGAGAGCGAGCTGCTTTGAAGGTTTTTTTTTTTTTTGAGCTTTTGATCCATTTTGACATCTTTGCTATACTTATAACTAGCTTCAATAGTTTATTATTATTTTTTTGGTTTGTTAGCGTCGCTTTGCTACTTTGCTCTGAAAAGATTCGTGTAGCAATACGTTTTTTATAGGAAAAAGTAAGTGAATTGCAAGACAAGTTTCAAAGAGCAATGTTTATGTATTCTCAGTTAGATAACGAGAAATCAGCTTTACTGTACGAAATTGATCTGCTGAAAGACGACGTGGAAGAAAAAGAACAGCTTTTGTCACAGTCTAATCGGGAATCTCGAGATTTGATCTCGGTTAATTAAGATTTTGAATTATTTTGATATTTCAAATTTTTATACCTTTCACTTGTCAAAATGTGTTTCTTTAAATATGATGCGTGATTTTTAAAATAGTTTCTATCTTATTCATTGAAAGCAGCAATTATTAGTAGTATCGAATCATCAAATTTAATTAAAATTTGGTATTGACCATTTTATATCCAGTTAATTGTTTTTACATGTGATTGATAATTTTATTGCTTTTGGAACGATTCTGATTCAGGAAGTAAAACTACTAAAGCGCACAGTTGATGGTTTGAATGCTCAACATGCTATTTTACGAACAGAAATTGCACAACGTGATCAAATTATACAGGTAGTTATTCAGTTTGTTCAGTTTCTTAATGTGACGAAACTATTTGTCCAAATGCTTGCATCATATATTACTTTTGATTAAGGTGTTTATTGCAAAATATTTGTTGTACACTCGAGTTAATTGCACCTCTCTAAATTTATCACTGATTAATATTTTCACATCAGCTGATGCATTTAAGCTTCCAGCTTATTGTTTCGAAGCACTTAATCCCCTCATTATTTATTTTTAATATTTTTCGAATATAGAGGAACATTTTTTTCTCGTTTTGTAAAGTAAATGAAAATCTTTAAGCGGTATTTCTGTTCCATATTTTGCTCGTTACTTTTACAAATTTTCCAATATTGATTCATTTAACGTTCATTCAGGAAAATGGATTAGTACTGGGAGAACGCGAAAAATCTGACAATGCGTTGACAAATGGAACTGAGAATTTGTAAGACATGTTTTTTAAATTTGGTTATTAGAGTGTAAAATTCAGATATTTTTTCGAGTTTTGAAATGGAAAGTAATAATAATTGGAATTATTATGTTTAACCACTGCTTATTTTTCAAATTAATATTATGTGCTCAAAGCAAACATATAAAATTTAGACGTCATTATTCAACTGCCAATTTTATCCTTCTCTTTCATTTTTAATTTATAGTCGATTTATTCTTATATATTATTGGTTGTTTTTTTGAGTGATTTCCTCAGTTGTCATTTTTTATTATGTTATTTCTTCACTGAACAGAAGTTTATTGTTGTGAGCCTAAATTTTTCGTACTCATCCATCCAAATCATTTTTAAACTGTTCTTGACATTTCACTGTCTAATACTGCGACTGAGTAAAATTTCGACAAAAATCCCGGATCAGTTTGTGATCATTAATTCTGAGTAAATTTGGTATATGATACAGTTTTCTCTCCAGGTCACAATCCTTGCTAGTATTTTCTCGGACAACGATCGCACTCGTTGAAAAAGCAGTACCTGGTTCTTCATCAATAGATGAAAAAGTAAAAAAATTAGTTGATGTGGTGCGTTTACATTTCGTTAATGAAACCTTCATTTAATTAATATTTATTAGGTTTATAGTACCATAATAATTTATAACGCATTTTTAATGTATTTGCATACATTCTGAATGCTATAAAATTATCTGTTTTGTTTTATTTTTGCAGTTTTATGGTAATTTTTTAATTTTTTTTAGAATAAAAAAATGCGGCAGCAAGTTGAAGAAGCAGAACAGTCTTTGTATACTAGAAGAACGGCTCGTGCTGATTTCGTTAATAATGTGCAGAATGGTATACTCACCGATGAATTACAAAGTGTGTGTTTATTTTATTTGAATCAATTCATAATGCTTGCTTATTATATCAACTCACTTTGAATGTTAAAATTCATCAGAATAATTGCATGTAGCTAATAAAATTTTTATACTTTTCACCAGTAAGGTAGGATATCATCAGAGAAGCTTAATTGTATATCATAAATTTTTATTTTGTATTACAAATCTTTTCAGAAGATGCAACCAAGCAACTAGCGGATATCAAATTCAAATTACAAGAAGCTGAACGTGAAAATACTAATTATCAGGGCAATGTAGGCTCACTTATTTTTCAAATTAGCATTCGTTTTATTCCTGCAAATTGCCTCTTTATGTCAGGCTTTTAGTGCATATATTTATAAATTTTGCTTCCTTAAAAAATTGAACAAAACATAAATTTCTTGTCATTCAAAGTGATTACTTTGTAGCTAATACGTGTAGAAGGACAAATGAAAAGGTACAAAGCAGCAGCTGAACAAGCAGAAAAGGAACTTGTAGAATTAAAGTCTCAAAATCGGCAGCTTAAAAAAGAGGTAAGCTAGTTTACGCAAAAGTTGTATTTTACAGAGAGGTGTATTTTCATTTTTACTTATGGTGGGGTGAATCATGCAGGTGATGACTTCATTATTTAATCAATGAAAACATGAAAATATTGGTATTTTTGTCAATAGAGTATTTAAAAAATTGTTTACAAATATTCGGCTCCAAAAACTTGTTTTCCGTCAGTATTCTTGAATAATGATTTTCTCATGGCATGTTTCTCAGGTTAGAAAATGTTGGATAAAAAGTGGTAAGTGGAAGAAAAAGTGTGAATTTAGAGTATCAAAAAAGAATATTGTGTGGTTATGAACTTTATTTTTAGGTGAATATAAAGACCAAAAAGAAATATGAAATTTTTTAATATCTTAATGCAGATACATTTATTATTAACAAAGATTTATTCGTACATTCTATTATTTTTTCGTTCATGCTATTCTATTTTTGAAAATTTTATTAAGATTAATCAATCTTATTTTAATAGAATAGCAAGAAAATAGAGACAGTTCATCGGGTCTTGTCTATTTTTGTTTTTGTTTTTTTTTTCAAATCAAAAAAGTAAATTAATGTTTTATTCGAATTTTTCGAACCTCGACCAGAATAAAATTGAGAAATTACGCTTATCAAGCTCCAGACGACCGTTATGAGTATTTTAAAAATCAAAATATTTTATTTCAACAAATTTAACGGTCTAAATTTCTTACAAAATGCAAGCTTTTGTGAAGAGTATGTAATTGTAAGATTGCAGTAATCACTAAAGTTCTGGGAATGTTTCAGCTTCGTGACAAAGAAAATTCCCTGGACGAGGCTAAAGAAACTAATCGTCATTTGCAGAATCGAATTGAAAAGTTACGCTTATCAAGCTCCAGACGACCGTTATAATTTTGAAGCAGCTTTCTTCTGCTCTCTTCACTAGTGCTCGTTTTCTCAAATTATTATTTTATTTTGGTAGGTAATTCGATGGAATCTTCGTTTTTTGGTTCAATTTTAATCATAAAGTTCTGTGACTAGATTTATACTGCTACTTCTTGGAGACTACATCTACATTAATTTCTTATGTATGTGTGGTTGATCGAATTTATTTATTAATCACCATTATTGCTTAAATATGTTAAAACACAACCATTTTTTTTGATGTTTTGAAATAATTTGTCATGTTTTGAATTATTATCCGACTTTTCTAATTTACCAATTTATAGGCTTCAATTTTCAGAAGCATCCTGATAGTGCTATGTTATCGTTGTTGTGATATTTTAATTTTTTTTTAATATCATTTCCTGACACACCAATTTAAAATTCAAATAAAAAAAAGATGAATCCGATTTTTTTTAAATTAAAAAATCTTTTATTATGATTTTTTCAAACTTACGAAAACATTATTTTTGATGATTTCCAACGTTAATTAATGTGAAACTGAAAGGCGGAGCCGTTATGCATTCATAGCAAACATCATTAGCTTAGCTATGATTTTGAAGGCGTTCCGAATCATTCATTTTCCTTGCATTGCCATCTTAAGGTTTCAGTCTTTATTTGAATAGAGTGATTGTAACGAGAATGACCGTGGCAGTCAGTGGTAACAGTAACAGAATTTTTTGCGCTATTTCGCTTCTGCTTGTTCTTTTAGTTACGGTATCAACTACTTTTGGTTACGATCAATTCATGGCAAGTTGTTGTTGTTTAATTAAATTTTCTTGAAATGTGCTAATGTAAGAGCCTGAGTTTTTTTATTTTAAATTGTTAAGTTAGATTCAAGGAGGAGAGTGTTTTATTGCTTGGAAATTTGTAATAAAAAGCAAAAATAGACAAATAAAATAACTTATAAGATATTATTTTGCTAATTTTAAAATAGTGAAAAGCATGTGAAGTTTTGTATGAATATTAATTTTATTCATTGCCTTTGTGAGCAGAATAGCACGTTGAATTGCATATGTTTCTTGCCAAACGATTGATTGTAAAATATTTGCTTCGTACAAAAAGTAAGTCATTCGTTTTTATCAATCAGAAGTGATCATTTTTAATAATTTATCAGTTTGTTATATGTAAGCTTTGTTTGGTGAATTATTTCACACTTATTTATTAATTTGGTTGTTTTTGCTTGCTTTGATAAAGTCGTTGCACAGTATAAAACGAAGAAATGCTCAAAATGTTTATATGATTCTATCAGTGTATAGAGGTCCATGTGAGAGTATGTTTGTTTTACTTATGTACCCATTTATTATCATCTGTATTCATATAATTAAGCATATCGTACGTATGTTGTTTGCATATATTAATATTGGCTTGTGTAGACTGCAATAGCAATAACATTCTGAATTGGCTTCTTAATACATTGTTACTATGCAACAATATAATTGGGTCAAAGGTTAATTATAACTTTATTTTTAATTTATTTAAAAAAATAGTTTTTGGATTTCTTGTCACTGTTATCTCACGGTTACTTTTTAGTTGCTGATTAATTTATCATAGAGCATAACGAGCGGATCTTCAAATCAATATGCATATAAAAAGCAGATATTTGACAAACAGTATTTATATTTAAAATTTTTGGATGTTAATTCATTTATTTCTACTTTCCTTTCAAAAAACTCGAAAGCATACCCAACTTTGATTCTTTCTCATTTATTTAATTGTGAGTTCTGATTTGGTTTTTTGGTTTTTAAGTTAACGGAAAGCATATATGTTCTACTTCTGCATATGAGATGTGCTGAAATAATGTTCTAAATTTTGGCCATAATTGTAGTTTGATTCTGTTCTGAGTATCATATATGTGATAATGTTTTCAATGGTAATGATTCGAACAGGATTACCAACAGACTGTAGGTAGTGTGTATCAACGCTATTTTTCATACAATAATAGATTTGAAATGGATGAATGAGTCAATTGTTAGAGATGATTTTTCAAAGCCACTTAACATAAAATGATATTAAATATTAAAAGCATTTACGCATTTATGTTTTAAATATTGAACCGAATTGACGTGGAAAGATGTATTGCGCATCACAAATTGCAGCAAATTAATAATGTCATAAGGGTGTGCTTGTTGATGTATAAATGTTGAATTCATAAATAAAGGATGAATTCAGAAAGAATAAATCTCTCGAGAATGAGATGTTTGCGTTTTAAGTAACATTAGGATTGAATTTACAGTTCACGTCTGTCTCGTGCAGTAAAGTGAAGCGAGTGATGGTTTCTATTTTAAAAAATTTGTTAGATGCTTAATGAAGTTGAGAAGAAGATAGTCCACATTTTAGGATGACTAAACTGTTGAAAATTTAAACGCCTATAGACGTATAAGTGAGATTACGCATAGTATGGATGTCATAGTGGGGAATTCTGCTTAGCATATTGATGCTTAGCTGTCATCGACGATAGGCAATATTTGAATGAGTTAAATTAAAAATTTTTAAAGCTGGGGAAAACGCTACTTATTGTCAATTTTACGATTATTCAGTCATTAAAAGATAACCTTATTTGTCAGTATATAATTATCATTACGACTGTTCAGAATAATATGTTTGCTTTTTTTGGTTTAGAAAAAGCCATAATTGAAATTTAAAATTATTTAAATTATACAGCATTCTGTACACTTGACAAATTTTAATAAGTTTAATTAGAAATCTTCACTGCATAATTTACAATTGTTGTGTAAGTCATAAATTAATTTAAGACTCTTAATAGTTATTAATTATGGTTATGCTATAGTATACAGTTATTCAATAATTTTTAATAATAATTACAAATAGCAATAATTTCTTTCTTAAATTTTGCTTTAAATTAATGAGTGGCGTAAGAACACATTCAATTAAGAAATTACATTTATTGCTAAGTTTCTTATCTCATAAATAATACATATCTGAATTCTAATTCAGAAAGATATAACAGACACAAATTAGAAATCAAATAAATTCAATGTGTACGACATTTTCATCAAATTATTTTTCATGTGATTTATTAGACACTAAAGTGTTTTTCGTCTTCTCCACGCTATACAAACTACAATCAGTTCGTAATACTAAATTTTAATGAAATTATTATTTGAAATAGTTCTTATAAAATATTAAGTAATTAATTTGCAATATTACTGAAACCATAAAAGACAATTTTGAAATGTTATTAGTACTCTCTGTTTATTATTCATTAAATTCATCTGCTAAGCTATTTTACTCAATAGAAGCAGACACGTATTGGTTAATAAGATCATAAGTTATAAATACTTCTGCTAATAATAATATTAATTAAAATTGATAAAAGTTATATTGATAATAATATTAATAATGTAATTACTGTAATAATAATGATAATAATAGTTATTATTACTAATAATTATTGATACTTCACAATAATTAGAGAATATATAATAAATAATATTTAATAAAATAAAATTTATAGGTTAGTTTTTGTTTTTCTTTTCAATAAAATGTGGAAATTAGTTTCAATAAAATAAAATAAAATGTGGAAATTAATTTTCGTTTTACTATTATTTATTATTATTAAATTTAATAATAATAACAAATAGCAGTAATTTGTTAAGGATTTCGAACTATGTCAGATTATAATTAGCATTATTTGCACTCCAATTTTTTTAGCTTTTTAGAAATATGTTTGTAAAATCAGTGAAAAATATTTATAATTTATAAAATATGTAAAACAAATTTGATATTTCAAATTATTTTTCTTAATATAAAAATTAATTATGAATGAGAATATTTTTTTTACAATTATCGGATATTTTCTGAAATAATATTTATGCAATTTAGTCAACAAAATAATATTATTGTTGCAAAAAAAAGCATGAGTATACCGAATTCTATTACTTTTTACATTATTGAGAGTTAAATTATTAATTACTTTTAAAATTAATTAATTGATTCCTTTTTAATTTTTTTTAGATAATATTCAGTGATATATAGTAGATACTTTGATTCTTTTGACAGAGTCTTAAAATTTCACAGTAACTACTGTATGCATAATTTGATGATCGTTATCATTTTTAATCAGTTGCATTCATCAATTTTGATTTTTTGCAATTATATTTTTTAATTTTTTTAATAATTAACAAAATACTTATATCCATTTTAAGACTTTTGCAACGAATATTATATTATCAATTCGTGAAATGTTCAACGTTTAGTTATGCCAAACTGTGAATTTGCATGTCTTTAATGCCTCGCATGTAATGAATAATCCGTTTTTTTTGTTGAAAATTTGCATTTCAACTTGTTGAAAGTATTACAATTGTGTAGTGTCCCAGTACTGTACTTCAAATATTTAATATGAATCTAATAAATCCTTGCTATAGCACGACCAAAAGTTCGCATGCCACAATCTTTTAGACTTTTGCAAACGATATCACACGTGTGGATCACTCAAAAAGCTTAAGCAATAACTTGACAAATCACCTCAGGCAAAGCAAGCAGATAAATTTGCATATTTTTAACGCATAACAACTATTTAACTCTTTATTTGCCCTTTTGGAAGTAAACAAAAGTGTTATCATATCTTTCATATAACAGAAAAGTCTCTAAGTGATACAAAGGTGAAAAAATCTGCAAAATTAATTTAATTTGCACAATTTTAATTTGATGTGAATGTTAATAAAATCTCGCCATTGTAATACTATATATGGTAAAATTGAATCAATGCGAATGTGAGTCAATCTTAATTCTGATTTTTTTTTCTATCATTGATAACAGCTAACTAATCAGTTATCATTTGTTAGATTATCAGTTGTTGCTTGGTTAATAAGAATAATTTTAGGATAACGAGAAGGAAACGCAAGAATTATGGAAACGAAGTAATGCAGAACTTATCAACGGATTGATTGGAATGGATCTTGGAAAGCTCACTAGAGCTGGTAAAAGGAGTATATCAACAATGAAAAGAAATGCCGAATTGATAAACGGTTTGATTGGTATGAATCTTAATCGATTGGAATCAAATGGACGTCGCCGTTAACTGTTTTATCTTTGACCTTCAACCTTCTATCACTTCTGACCATTTCAACTATGTGATTGTAAAGTTACTCCGTCTTGTTATTTGACCAGCATGTAATATTATCACTTCAAAATAATTACTTTTCTTTTCATATTTATAATCCTATTTTTTAAGTGTAACTTATTTTTACTTTATGATTTTATCTGTTTTATTTTCGAATAATTCACCAAATCAGTAAATGTAAACGTAAAAGTGTTAAATAAATATATGTGATCTCTCAATAAGTTAAGAGTCTAATTCAATGGGTAATTTGAAATATTATCATTCATGACAATAGTGTAAGTGATTATCATTTATTAAGTTATCAGTTACTAGTTAATTGGCTGAATATAACAATTTTAATGGCTGTGTAGCCCACTTATATTTGATATTAAAATTATTATAGTAAAGAACTTGGAACAGTTTATCAATTAAAACTTTACAAATAACTTTACTGATCAAAAGCTCTAAATGAAAATAAAGACTTTCGAAGGTCAAATAAATTGTGATTTGCAAAAGAGTTCTTTTGTAATACAAATGTCGTAATTACTTTTTACTATCGGTTATTAAAATGATTAATTATGATTTTATTAATAGCACTGAATTTTTCTAAAGATTTATCTCAAACTTTTTTCCCTTTTGTGCTGCTGATACGTTGATGGATTGTAAATTATACAAATCTGTGAAATAATTAAATGCCAATTATACTTTATCAAATGCTTAATCAGTCTCAGAACTCTTAAATGATTCTGCAAAACTTTAGTTGGATTACAGCTGCATTTCTGTCCGAATAAAAATGAATGCAAAGAAAATAAATAATTAATTAAATAAAAAGTCAGTGATGGAATAAATATTTGCACATGTTAATTATTCGAAGCAATAACATTAGAATCAGTAAATTCAGTACTGAGACATTTGTATTAATACAACACCAGCGATAGTGTAGATTGTTTATTACAGTTTATTATTATTATTGCTCATTATTTATTATTAGTATTATTATTTTTATTACTGTTTATTTATTATTTATTTATTCTGTTTATTATTTATTACTATTATTTATTTATTTATCGCTATAACTGCAGCAAATTTAAATTTAGTCCTCAACGGAAATAATTTCAGAACTCATTCATCGTTTGCATTATGAACAGTAACATCTAAATTTTACTGGACTGTACTTAATAAAATTGCGCATTTCATACTTGATTTGTACAAATCTGTGCATAAATAAAGTTTGCACATAAAAATTGAAATTTAACTATCAAAAAGTTCATATAAAAATATTATATTGGACCGGATTTCTTTACTTTTCGTTATAAATAAGTAAATTAATAGTATTGAGTGTGCTTTAAAATGTTACAATTGTTTGGTACAAAATAATGACTTAATTACTTATTATCCCTTTTATTTCAATATTTGCTCACTATAATGAGAGATTAACTAATCAAGCAAGATAATGATATTCATTATAATTCGTATGAAAAAAAAGATAATAATGGAAAGATATAAAGGAAATGACAACCAACAGCGGTAACCAAATGAATGTTATTAACAATAATAGTATTAACAATGATTATTTATTTTTTCATGTCATTTATTATTATAATAGTATTACTCTCAAGTAATGAGTAAGTATCATTTGCACAAATTAGCATTCTTAAAGCAAATTAATAATTAGACTCAACTAAAGTTTTTAAAAGATTTTTCAGGAAAGTTATTCATGCAAATTAATTAATTATAACAAATAAAAATGTGCTAGTAATTTGTTTTTATCCAATCCATCTCATTAGCTTACTATATTGGCAGAAAATTTGAAAATAAAAAGTATTATTTTTGGAATAATGAAAATTTCTGCTAACTTCAATGACTAAAATTTTATTAAGTTTGATATTTGATTAAGCAAAATGAATTTCAACTATTTTTAAACTTTTCAAAGTGTTTTATTTTATTTAATTTTTCGAAAAATATTCATTATTTGAAAACTGTTTAAAAAGTTTCACTGTAAGTCAAACAATACTTAATATTTATATAGTAATTCTAAGGATTGCAATGCCACTTGGCATAACTTCAAGGCTGGGATATTTTATTGTAGTTTTTAATTTAGCAAAATTGAATAAAAGAATAAATTAAAAAAGTTTTCTGATAAAACCAAACTTCAGAGTCGCGTTCTTTGTGCTCACTGCTTTGCTTATTAATAAAGCACTGTGATAAAAAAAAAAACTTGCAACGATTCATTATCTAAAAATTAATAAATAACTTTGCGAACAAAAAAGTGTGATTGAAAATAAAAATTAACTAAAAACCAAAAAAATTGCAATTTTTAATTTACAAAATAATTTTTTTGTATTACAAAATTATTGCATAATGAAAACAATGCAATTATATTCACAAATTATTTGACAAAAATTTTCATTCAATTCTTATTTTTACTAAATTATTATAACATTTTGATTTATTTGTTAGTTTGAAAGTTATATTGCAAAATTAATTACTGTAACTCATTATTATTTATTTTCATGACTACATTAAA